TCGTAGAGTGGATGCCAACTTGTTTACATCTGTCTTTACTGGTTTATGTATACTGAGTCAAAATAGAAACTTCACAAAATGTAATTTGAAAAATAATGAATAATGTTTCTCTGATGATACATCTATGTATCCGAAATGGGATCCCTATCTTTCGACTCTAGAAAAACGTTAGCAAAACCCACTCAAACCCATCCATTCATCGTGCAAATGACGTAAGTGCCAAATCAGGTTTTGCACATGCAGTCGATCACGTGATCTTCGCATCGAAGTTTTCTTCATATGCACGTGTTTGCATTGGCCTCAAGAAATGAAAAAGCACTTTTAAAACACAGTTCTAACGGTACTTGAAATGCCACGATTGTCAAATGTGCAACGTGAACTTGCCGTTTGCATGTTGCAAGCGGTAAGATCAGTTATTGACGTCGCAAGAGCAATGGGATGCAGCCGTCGTACTGTGTATGACTTGCGAGGTCGTCTTCAACAAACTGGCACAACTTCTGATCGCCCAAGGTCGGGTCGTCCACGTGTGACGTCACGAGCAGAATACCGTCAAATCGTCCTCGTCACCTAAGTGACAGATTTCTGCCGGCTACACGAACCAGGGCTGAGATGTTTAGAGGTCGACTGTCCTCACAGACCATTCGAAATCGGTTGCGGGCTGCCAATCTCCATTCTCCACGTCCATATCGTGGGCCAATATTGACGCCGTTTCATCAACGTCAACGTCTGCTGTGAGCCCAACGTTACCTCCGATGGACCCAGAGAGACTGGAATCGAGTCGTCTTTAGCGATGAATCCAGGTTTACCCTCAGATTCGCGGACAGCAGGCATAGAGTCTGGAGACGACGTCGTGAACGGTATGCCCAATGTTGTGTACAGGAAGTCGACAGATTCGGGGGCGGAAGTTGCATGGTGTGGGGTGCTTTCTGTGGGAACAACCGTTCCCGATTTCTGGTCATCCGTGGAAACTTCTCAGCTGCTGCTTACCGCGACCATGTGCTCACCCCTGAACTCGTTCCTTTCATGGCGGCTCATGGTTCCAGCATGATATTGCTCGGCCGCATACCGCGATGTTGACACGAAATTTCCTTCAAAACGCTGGAATCAACTTCATGGACTGGCCATCGAGGTCCCCTGACCTTAATCCAATTGTTGCACAATGTCGACCTGTCAGCTGAAGATGTAAATCGCACTACATGTGGCCCTGGGAATCATGTCACTGCTACCAAGCTGCGAGTCATATAACCACAGATGACTTCCCCTTACTTGACAATAACAACGCCCGTCAGTTGCTCAAATACGGCCCAAAATATCTTGAACAGCATCCTAACAATTAGGATCTCTAATTATTGTGGATGTTGTTTAAACATATGCCAAATATACTGTATATGAGGAACCTGCAGAATGATCACGCCATTGTGTAATGTTGTCATTGGGTGAAAACAGGAATCAGCATTGGCCCCTGTACCATACATAGGGTATGTAATCGAATGTGTTGTAATATATTTTTTACTATCATGCATCATTCTAACGTAAAGAATCAGTGTTCCTTTATGTTAACCTTTTAAGGTAATATTGTATGTTAATCGGGGATTATGTTAAAATACGATACGCTGACATCTTTGGGATTTCGCATGATAAAGATTATTTTTATTCGCTTCTCCACCATCTTCTTGGGCAGATGACGGAAATGTAGAGCTCATCAGCCCGCTCCAACTTCGGCATCCCCAACATAGCGATCTCCTCGGCTTTTTGTTGCACTCAGAGTTACCTGCCCTTAGCATGGTGAGGATTTCGCACAACCACTTGGTACCTGGGAGGATCAGAATATATGATTTACTTCGAAAATTAGACCATGCCTAAACAATTACATACTTTGCAGGAAAATGACGTTATGTCCAGTTCCTTCAGCAAGATCCGTCTAAAGATTTAGTACCTTCAGGTTCAAATTCTCTGCCCTCTTATGACTGCGCTGGGACAACTTTTGTTCCCAAATAACTAAACGAAATTAAAAGATAACAGTCTTGAGACAATGTTTGGTTCTTACCCCATTTGGGATAAGCCGCTATCATGACGTCATCATCTCTCAGTTCGAACTACTGAACTTTTCGGATCATTTCCACATCATCTTCGGGGATTGTGACAATTCTCCGGGGGGCGTCGTCATTTTTGTAGAATCGCCATCCTTGACCTTTTTCATGTATCACGGTTTAGACTCAGGTCATAGACGCTTACTGATTGATGCTGCCAGTATAGATAGGTATAGTGCTCTCAAACCAAGGATATGAAATATTGTCAACCTTGGTTGACAACGGTAGCATTTCTGAACTTTAAATAGCTACGCCTTAGGTAACTGAGTGTGCTGAGCTGAATATATGTTTCAAAACAATAATACTCAAACAAAATCCATGTTAGGAGCCTAATTTGGGTGTACTTGACATAAGGCTCTATCTATATCCACATATGCCAACATCTATTTGTGCGCTGGGTCACATCCGGCATTCGAACCCACAATCTAAAGGTCAGGCATCTAATGGCCATCTACACTTGTCAGAGTGGTACACAAAGTGCCTGATCTAGACTTCCAGACGGCTAAGTGGGTTAGATCGATGACTTTGTGTGCTTGCGATTAGGTGCCAGACTGTAAGAGAGTTTAGAGCATGCTTCCTTTGTCTTCGACCATACTATAACCATCCGATGTGGCGGTTACATCCCGGACGGAACTACTTTCTCAAATGAAAAGAACAATTTCGACTATAATTACTTTTTATTACTTTTTAATGACAACAGACACTGAAATCGCGACGCGATCGTCCGTCACACTTTGCGAGACTGCGGGTGTGGTAGTGGTAGCTACGTCGACACTGGAGTCAGCAGTTCGTTGTCTTTTAGGGAGTTCACTGCCACCTTGGATCATGTTGCTCAGTTCTTTCTCCTGAGCTGTACTAACTCGCTTGTACTCTCTCACAGCGGTACTCCGATGTCCCGTTGTTCTGGCGATTAGTTGTTCATCAATGCCTGACTGAAAGAGTCGAGTGGCGCATGTGGCTCTGAGTGAGTGATTGCTGTAAAAACCTGCAATAAGACAATTTACGTTATTGCTAGTCTAACAAAGTAAGGAATATGGCTATATGTTCAACACTTTTCAATACCGCCCCTTTGAACAGTCATACAGAAGCCTTGTCAATTTACGCTAACAGTACAAGGGCAGCCTCAATGAGAGGTACGAATTCCTTTTTGGTACGAATTCCAATACCACGTTTCAATCCTTCTTTCATTACACTGTCCAATATATTTCCCAGTTCAAGAAAAACGTTATCAGACAGGAATTTCAAATCCCGACCACACTTCGTCAAATGCATGTTCAATAACAGCACTAACTGCCGGAGAGTTTTCGGATTGTATTCAGATCCATCGCTTTTGCGCACCTCGCATACAAAACGACACAGAGAGTAATTAAGTTCATCGTCGTTCAGATCCTCGAGTTTGTGAGATATTAAACTTAAACGCTGTCCGGATGTTTCCCCTCGTAAAATTCTCTGATTACGTGAATTTCTCCAAGTTTCAAAAAGACCACAGGCCCAACGTAAATTCTGTTTGGTATTTTGAGGCACACTTGTCTCGCATAATCCTGCAATTTCAGAATCCAACAACGGTACAGAAAATCTTTCATGATCATTCTGCTTCCCACTACCACCGCCAAACACATTCTCACTCACGTGGACTTCTTCCTCCACGTCACTAATATCGCTGTAATGTTGCTGAAGAAGATCCCTTTCCTCCGCAGTTTCCAGTGCTGTGCATAGAATTTCATCATCTTCAGAGATTTCACTTATTGTCAAAAACTCACACTGTGAAGCTGGAATCAATGTATCGTCGCTGTCGGTCCCACTCATACCTGCTGTGTAATGAAGAGACATGTGGGCGGTGACCATGTGTTTGTAAAGGTGAGATTTCCGAAAAGCATGTGCTTTACGTCCTCGGTTCATTAACCATCCTTGATAAGGGCCCAGAATGAAATCCTATATACCCCTGAAGCTGATTAATTAAAGAGCATCGGGCCGCTTTCTCAAGACGACCTTCGATAACTGGTAAAGACATATTAGCGTTGATTTAACGACGATAGCGACTGTACGTGCCTTTAGGTAGAATACAGAATATAACACACATTAGCACGTGCCGTTCATGACATAAGTCGACCCCACCACAACCTTGTTTGCGCTTAAAAAACTATAGTCCATTCATTAAATTACAGACGCGTACCAAATAAATATTACTCTTTTATTTTATTAAAAGCAATATTTGTGTGCATGCTCTAATTAGGTTAGAAGACTCGGACACGTTCTGTAACCGTGGATTAAGGCGGTTAGAGCCCTCGGCACGGAGCGCCGAGGGCTCTAACCGCCTTAATCCACGGTTACAGAACGCGTCCTCGTCTTCTAACCTATACTTATTCGAAACCCTAATATGATTCACCAATCCGCCATCCTGTACGGGCCAGTAGGTCTGTGTTCGTGAATGAATGAAAATCACTGCATTGTCGCTGAAGTGTACTTGCGAGTAACTGGTACTTACTGGCGATCGGGATGTGGGTAAATCTATTGCTGCTACGATAAGATAGTGACCTAATTTACACCTTTGGAAGGCACACGACTATACATCGACGGACAAAGTCAACTGTCGTAAGCGTAACTTGGTTCAGGTGCTGTGACTTAACTGGAATTTCAATCACCGGGGCTTTAGCCACATTTCTCTCACGATCACCCAGGGCCTCATGCTTGTTCCGAGATACACACTTGGAGTAGCCTGGTGGTTAAAGAGGTCGCTTGTCTTGTCGGAAGCCCGGATTCGATTCTCCACATGGATACAATGTCTGAAGCCCATTACTAGTGTCCCGATTGCTGAGTGCGACGTAAAACTAAACTCACTATTGGTGTCCCGCGTGATATTGCTGGAATATTGCTGAAAGCGGCAAAAAGCACAACTCACTCTCTCCCGTGTGCCGTTAACCGTTTATTAATTCTTTATGTAATATAAATCTCACGTCTGGTCAGGTGACTGATGTAAAGGGTTGCGTCCTTTAACAATTCCAGAACCTGTGATTGTGTGCTCGACTGATGGGTCGCCAGATCTTGTGACATTTATGTACAAAGTGGGAACTACATAATTTGGTAACATTTGACCAATCTCTGTGACAATGTGTTTATGTACAAGGCGAAAACTACATAATTTGACAATGTATTGATTACAAGAGGACGATTACATAACATGGTTAACATTTGCTCAGTACCTGTCACAATATATGTGTATATTAGGGAAAGACTACAGAAGTTGAGTAACATTTGCAGCGCTCTTTAGTTGTAGCAGAATCCTGACCTTGATTTGAATCCGAGATTCCATCTGGTTATGTTCCTTGTTCCCTCGGCACATTGTCCTAGCTAGTTTCACCGAAGATTTATCCAGAGGACACTGTGTAAATCCTGTGTTAGACAATAATCATAATTCAAGTCTGCGTTGTACGAAGTTATTATGATCATCTGTTAGCCTGTTATCTAATCTAATCATACATGAATACAATTCCTGTGCCTTCAAATGTTCTCTCTATGACGTCATCAAATCTCTCGTTTTCAGCAACAGTTATCCAGTTCTTCCAGTCCCCAACTTCACCTGAAACAATAACATTACACGCGTCCTTAAGTAATACAGGCGTACAAATAAGTAACTAACTAAGTAAGTAAGTAAGCTAGTAAGGAAAAGTAAGTGAGTGAGTGAGTAAGTAAATATATAGTTTTTAGTTGGTACAGTTGTCAATAGTAGACAGAAATTGTCTAAATGCTACAGTTGATGACCCTGAGAGGTAGCATTCAGGAATATATTGTTTACGTAAATCTATGTAAGATGAAAAGGAAAATAAAAAAACTGAATTTCGTTTTTCAAGAAAGAAATGTATGGCTTACTTTTTAAACACACTGTACATGAGTCGGGCCTTAACATAACCAATATGTGAGTTCTTGAGTAAGTAAGTAAACTGTAAGTTAGTAAGTAAATAAGTAGTGTGTGGTTTTACGCCTCTTTTAGTAATATATCAGCAATATCATGGCGGGGGGACACCAGAAATTGCACATATATGTAAGTACTGTATCCCCCTCTAAATTGCTGGCGCACTTCATTGGCACGGGACATGGGATTGCCAGAAGAATCAGTACTCCGCCATCCCGGTCAATGGCCTTCCTCAGTCTTCCAGGACATGGACAATCCTTTACTTCGACATAAATAACACGACATAAATGCTTAATGCATGCCATTAAATTTCCACTGTGTATTTTCTGAAAATCGACGTCCTGCCATATGAAGAAAACTTTTAATACTGTTGTCTTTGAGATTAGTTCTCAAAACTGTTGAGCAATTAAGTTCTTAGACCTACTAGTGCTGAAATACTTTGACCAACTCTAACCTATATATGCGCTCACAACAAGCAGTACAATTACTGGACCTGCTCTGAACTGTGTGTGCCTTCATAGCAACCAACATAATTCTTTGGACCTTCTCTTACCCGGGTGTGTAGTAACAACGAGAAATTTATACTCACCTTTCCGATAGATTCCTTTTTGACCTCCCTTCCAGTTTTCAGATAATTTAAATATCTGCTCCTTCACCTGTGCATCTGCCGTCCTCATCTTCTTAATGCTGCAGGCTTCTGCTATTTGCTCACATAGTTCATCGCTGACAGACACTCCAATGAAGTTGGCAACCATTTTGATGTTTTTAATAGGATCCTAAAATCAACACAGTTTGGGTTATCGATTAGGACTATCGATTAGGACGACATGCACATGATAGTTTATGCAGATGGATCATGGTCATCCAATGTGATGAGACAGATCTAACTATGCACGGAGATGACCACTGAGTCTTATTGACACTATTCATGTAGGCCTTAACATTACAAACGGGCAAGAAATTGCTGGTCGATGTTAAAGTCCTTGATACGGGTGTTATTGGCAACATCACACGCATCACATCAATGGGCAACTCAACAGATGACATGCACAGGACGGGGATAAATGCGAATTTCGAGTTTATCAAACGTACCCAGCTGAACGTTATTAATTACTGGGATGGACCGAAAGTGTTTTCATTCAAATCTTCCATTATGACCATCTTGTCGACATAAAGGATCTAGGCCAACTACAAACCTTTTTCAAACTTTCATAAAACAATGTCAAGACAGGCAAATCAGGCTGATTCCGTTTCACTTGCAGCCAATCCTTCACGTAGTCGGCATAAGTCCCATCGGGAACTGAAACAATGGAAGTAATGACATAAAACAAACCATATGGGTACGGAAGATCAATTCCCATTCGAAATCTTCACGTGAAGCAGCTTTAGACCAACAGTCAGCCTATTTAAACCTACATTCAATTTGAAAGATGACAGACAGTTTACACCTACATTAAATTTGCAGGATGACAGGCACTTTACACCTACATTCAATTTGAAAGACGACAGACAGTTTACACCTACAATCAATTTGCAGGATGACAGGCACTTTACACCTACATTCAATTTGCAAGACGACAGACAGTTTACACCTACATTCAATTTGCAGGATGACAGACAGTTTGAACATATGTTCAATTTGCAGGATGACAGACAGTTTAAACCTATGTTCAATTTGCAAGACGACAGACAGTTTACATCTACATTCAGTTAACAGTATGCCAAACATACATTCACTTTGGAGCATGTCTGACAATGAAGATCTACATTCAGTGAGCAGCATGACAGAACGTTTGGATCTACATTTATACAGCGCATAATGTCAGGACGTCTAAACGGAAACACGCCAATATTCCATGCACCTTGACCTCTTAAGAACAGATCAAGATATTCTGAATCCCACATTCAGTGAACAAACAACATGAAGTCAATGATTGCATTTCAAAGGACGCTTTCAAGTCAGAGCATTTAAACTCACACATGAAATGAATATCAGTATTATGCTATAAATACAATGTAATAAGCACACTATTGGATACCGCTCTGTTATCACCCTGAGGTTTAACATAACGTAACAGCATCTACGTATCACTCACTTTTTCCTTCCAGAAACAGATCCAGAAATTCTGAATACGTCCCGTCAAACCCAAAACTATCTTTGAATCCGTTGATCATGCAATAGTAGGATACGCTGACATCTTTGGGATTTCGCAGGATCAAGATTGTTCTAATCCGCTTCTCCGCCATTTTCTCCGGCAGATGACGGAAATTTAGATGTGAGTTTAGAACTCTCGGGGAGGGGAGTTCATCAGCCCGGTCAAACATCGGCATCCCCAACATGGCGAACCCCTTCGTCTTTTTGTTGTACTCAGAGTTACCGGCCCTGAGCATGTTGACGATTTCCCACAACCAGTGTGTACCTGGAATCGGAATAGACAGCATAGTGTGAGCACTGAATTAGGTTTTACAGATCATTCAACTATTCATTATTCATTTGAAAAAAGATAATTAATCTTGCTAATCTGTCTCGAAGTCTTACCGCATTTGGGATATGCCGCTATCATCATGTCATCGTCCCTCAGTTCGAATTTCTGAACTTTTCGGATCAGTTCCTTGTCATCCTCAATGGTTGTGTCAATCGTCCGGAGGATGCCGTCATTTTTGTAGAAGGACCATCCATGACCATTCTCATTCCGGTAGTCCAGAATCGCAGGAGTTCTACAAAGAATCACTGGCTTGGTTTGAATTTACGCCGATTTGAATGATATGACCGCTTGGACTCCTTGTTGCTACTGAAATGAGTGCCAGTCGGATTTAAATAAATGATATCAATAGTGAAAGACAAGCTGTTGTTGCAGTTTGATGGAATGTTTACCTTGCCATCTCTGCTTGTGCGGAAATGTATAGAGTTTGCTAAGATCAGTGATTAGACATATGAGCACATTCGGGACCAATTCCTTTCATTCAGACACAAGATGGTTACAGAGAGTCGAAGGTGGTGACGGATGGTAAAGATAATCCATTCATGCCTCATCCGTTATGGATTTAGCTCAAATGAACTCTGCACGTACGTGATCAGGAAATAGAGCCGTTGTCTAACAAACATCCGCTTAACACATGTATCGCCGAGAATGAAATGAGCTAATATGTTTTTATGAAATATATAACACTGAACTGATGCAGATGTTTAATGAGGGTAACAGTTACTTACCGCTGACTTTCCATATTGATCACAACACGTACGCCTCGCTTGACTTTGCTATTATCCTGAAGAAGGAATGTTCCAATTTTCTATTAATATACAGTGGGCAGTGCTAGCATTGAGTTTGTAAGTGTTGGTTCACGGGGAGCAGGGCCAGACAGCACTACGCGAGAGTTTTGAGCCGAGATCCTCGGGGGGACACCTAACAGCTATTTCACTCAACCTGACACGCTCATATCAAGGCTGTTTATGCAGGTCATGGATCTGGCATGTTCATGAGATAACAAACCTTTGCAGAATAGTTAGGTAGGTAAGGTTTTAGGGCAACCTTGGGCAACGGACTTTCCAGTTGAATTTCCGACGTGTCAGCAACACACGTGAAATGGTCACTGTATTCCCAAAGAAAGGTGCTATAAGTGCTACATGACGATACTAGCTTACTGCTGATGATTCTTTGTTGAGAACTTTACGCAGAGCGATTTTTTGCTGTATTTTACATTGTGTATAAATACTCAAATTATTGGCTCTTCTTCAGCAGGAACCTTCCGTATCTTGCTGTATCTGCCCCAGTGTGGACTTTGATCCAAGGAAGGTGATTGAGATGTTTATCAGAAACATAATCGCGAAGTTACTCTTGTCACCAATTTTCTTGAAATCCAATGACCCTATCATAGTATGATTACAAACAATAGCATGCATATCATGCACATGCATTTTATAGTGGCACATCGTCCCATGTTTACTCTGCCGTCACTCGATGATTAAAATGTAGTCTTCACCGTCGAGCAATGACGTCATGATCCAAAAGTTGAAACTTGGGAAATGATTAACTCACATAGATCTTATAAACATTACAGGAACCAGCCACAGTTCTTTTCACTGTTCAAAGTCTATCCTGTCCACTTTGTTCTGTTATTGGAACGTGCTACCACACCTTTGTCACGCGGCGATCATGAATACAGTAACCTAGTTTTCTAAGCAGAGGTTCAGGACAGTTTATCGAAATGGAAAGCAAACGTCATCTGAAGTTTTAGAAAGAATAATGCCTGGAATGCTAGACTTCCGTATAGATAAGCTCTTTGGGACATTTGGAGATATAGGCATCTGTGATCCCGCCATGCGGATATCTTTTATGCAAATGAGTGAAAATTTGTTCTGGACGAGATTAGCTAAAAGAAAGGTAATTTGGCTGACCATAACGTTTCTCTTTGCTTAAAGACGAAATGCACTGTTTCTTTCAATGTATCTTCGCAAGATCAGTAACACAACAAATATCAGATTCCTCGTCACCAAATTTCATCATGATCGTAGAGCGGATGCCAGCTTTTTATATCTGTCTTTACTGGTATATGTATATGATCGTAGGTTTCATTAATCTCAATGTGCAATAGATTTGAAAACTCGCGTGCAGGAGTTCGACTGAAGGTACTAGTAGCTGATAAATATCCAACTTCAAAGGGTGGTTCTGTAAAGGGTTTTGTCCCTCAGGTCTGGCCGTGGGTTCAGTCATTAGTGGATATTGTGTTCTGGTCAGCACCGTACCCTGGGTAACCAGGGTGGTAAACGTCTTGGACATGCATCAGTTCGAGCTTTCCTTTAAAATACCACGTCACAACCTGATATAACTGAAACAGTTCTAAAAGCAGTGGAAACTAAACACTCAATCCCTTATCATATATAATAAATAAGGTAAGATGGCAAGTAATGTTTATTTCTCGTGTTCACATGATAAACAGTAACCAGTACAATTTCTAAATATATGCAGAATCATACTCAATAGTTGACTCGTGGTCTGTCTGGAGGCAATGGTTACCCATTCAACTCATTATGCAGAGTAATGACGTGAATTATTAGTTGATCTGCTGAACATGGGTTCGAATCCCAGATTTGTTCTGATTGGGTGCTATTCTTTGGCTGCACTATGCCAATCCTCGGCAATTTCAACGAATTTGTCGCTCAGTGATAAAACAGAAATGCTATTCACAACTGTGTCGAACACATATAATAACATTTATATAATAATACTGTTTGATTGGCCTCATGTTTCTTTGTCAGCAATGGAACGATTATCAGGGTCTTTCGACAGACATTGATGTACACGATGCAGAAATATATTTCCAAATGTGTTCTTGATCAATACAGATGATATTTGGAATTAGGTTTCCACGAAGACATAAAAAATGACCAACTCAGAACCCGTAGGCTATTCATACGTGAATACAATGCCTGTTCCATTGAAACGTCGTTCAATGATCGCATCAAATCGTTCGTTCTCAGCAACAGTTATCCAATTCTTCCAGTCCCCAATTTCACCTGAAACAATAGCATCCCCTAAATCACACTTAGCTGAAACAAGATTACGCCAGCAAATAGGCAATACATGATTTAGTCTTTCAGTGAAGAAATTGAGTTGAATTGGGTTTTACGTCACATCGACATTATTCCAGCCATATAGTGACGAGATCAAGTCTGAATTAACACACATTTGAAGTGCAAAGTCCAGATGAGTTTTATTTTAAAAGCGTATATATATATTCATTACATTGTTATTTAAAAAAAAAAACATGTCATAGCGCCAAATTCAAACGCAAGCAATTCGTTATTCACATGACATAAGCAACAAAACCTTTTCAACATCGATAAGAAACCTGCGCTGAAAGCTTTCCTTTTCCTATATGAACATCCAAGTTGTTGCACAACGTAGATTTGTCAGCTGACGATGGACAATCATCGAACATGCCCTTTTCCCCGACATTTCAAAGATCATTCTATCATGACTGCAGTAAATACTAGATTGTGATTGGTTAATCAGTCATTCAGAGATATATAATCACGTTATATACCTCTGACTTTCAAAAACAGTATGTATTTGTTTTAAATCTTAACGAGCTCGAGCTGAGAAGTTGTGCGCTCAATGTTACGACATGCCAAGGTATCATTAAAACTTTCAAAAGGTTATATGTTAGACATGTCAAAAGCAGTGCTCTATGTTTGCTTGATGATTGCTACTGGTGGGGCAGGACACGCTAACCGTTCGCAAAACCTGGTGTCGTCACTATTTGTTGGAGATTCATAAACATATGCTCATGATAGAGTTTAGAAATAGTACAATTCTAATTTCTTAAGGATGAGGACAGGGTTTTGTCACTTTCATTTAACAAAATACTTAGATCTGTTCTATACCATGTGTCCTTAAAACACGCAATGTACACTTGGTCCTCCTCTGACACGTATGTGTCAACAGAACTTTCAGTATAGAACTTGGACTGTCTCTTCTCTAACCCAGGCCTTCTTGTGAGTTATGATTAAAACGAAGCAGACCTTAGTGAAGCTCACCTTTTCTGTACATCCCAGCGTGACCTTTCTTCCAGGGTTCGGCAGGTCCCCAAAACTCTCCTTCACCTCCTTATCTGCAGCCTTCAGTTTCTTAAAGCTGCACGCTTCTGCTATTTGCTCACATAGTTCGTCAGTGACTGTCACTCCCAGGAACTCCGCAACCGCTTTGATTTCCTTGACAGGATCCTGAAACCAATACAGTGTGGGTAAATACACCAATCAAACTCAAAGACCATCACCTACTGTTGCACTATGCGATACCATGTCCGGTGAAATATTCCACATCACCCAAATTTAGAATTACGTTGAGAGGGTTGTATTCGTGTCGAGTCGCAGATCGAGACAGGAAATGCAGGGAACTCTCTCTCTCCCCCCCCCTCTTTTCCCAAGATAACGACTAAACCGGAACCTATTTATTTCGTCCGATATACTAAAAGTAACATTTTCCAAAACCCTGCTATTGCTCCACGTCTAGCCTGACGGCCCATATGAAGTTTCTATCACTTAAGCTGGAGGGTTTCCATACTGAGAACGGTATTGCTATTCAATGGTAATACACTTGATGCGGGTATCATCGGCGATTTGACTTTCATCAGATGTGTGAACATCTCAGACCAGATTATGTACACATGACCATATTTGGATGAAGTATATATGTTTACAGACAAGTGTAACGGGTCAGTGCTATTCATGTAACAGTGTTGCATATAATGTAATACATTGTACATATGGATATACATAGACCTGTGCTATATGTAGACTGTTGTAGGAGGGTACTTCAACCCTACTGCCATTTTCACAACCCAGACCGAGGGAGTTGGAGAATATTCTGGAGTTTTATTTTTAAGTATATACGGATTGCTAACTCTTGCAGAATAAATGGTGATCTACCTTCAGTTGTTGGCGATCTATAGCCAGTGTTTTATACTGTATTGTCTTCTTTAATTTGAATTTTTTAGCTTTGCTCGCTGGTTGTATATTCATATCTGTGATTCTCTAGTATTTTTACTGTCCATCGTCGGCAGGTTTTAATCTTCAAAATGTTTTCACCTTTTATTGTCTGGATTGTTCTCGTCACGATATGGCTGAGATATTGCCGATGTGACGTTAAATATTAACCCACTCACTCACTCACTTGCAGAATAAACACATATCAAACTCTTGCTGACTCACGCTGATCTCACATTACACATAAATTACAAACACCTATGTGTGGATTCTTGTCTTGGATACTCTGACTTGTTCTTATGATACTTGACCATTGTTGCTTGGAGGTCAGTATTACCATCATTGTCTTTATTGGTGTAATCATTGTCGTTTGTACTACACTGCCATTGCATTTCTACTGCAACTGTAAGATCTAGTAGTGATTTTCTTTTAATTTGCAAGACTGGTAAATTTTAGAACAATAAATCACTTTCCTTTGCTGTTTATTGGTTTCAATCTGAGTTCTTTCGGATTGAATCGCGAGTAAGTTTTTGTTGCAATTTAGGATTCAACACGTAACACAAGCACTCTTACGATGTACCAAGCAGACATAATTTCGTATTGAATAGAATAAATACAAACCTTTTTCAAGTTTTCATAAAACATTGTTAACATTGGCAAGTCCGGGTTGTCCTGTTTCACATGCAGCCAATCCTTCACGAAGTCGACATAATCACCATTGGGAACTGAAACATGGAAGGGATCATTTATGTAACGTTATATACATACATGGTTGTTTTTGTTTTTGGTTTTTGTTTTATTTGTTATATTGTGATGAAACAGGGCCACACTTCTAGACATCTAAACCTTCATTCAGGCAGACCAGCAGGTAGGATTATCTTAACCCGCATTTAGTGAAGCAACATGCAGACTCTGCCTTTTAAAGAACGCTTTCAAGTCAGAGCATTTAAACTCACACCAACGTGAAATGAATATCGATATAATAATATAAATACAATGTAATAATCACAATAAACAAACCTGCTCTGTTATTACCCTGAGGTTTAATATAACGTTAGAGCATCAGCTTATCACTCACTTTTTCCTTCCAGAAACAGATCCAGAAATTCTGAATACGTCCCGTCAAAGCCAATACTCTCTTTCATACCGTTGAACATGCAATAGTAGGATACGCTGACATCTTTGGGATTTCGCAGGATCAAGATTGTTTTAATCCGCTTCTCCACCATTTTCTCCGGCAGATGACGGAAATGTAGATGTGAGTTTAGAACTCTCGGGGAGGGGAGTTCATCAGCCCGTTCAAACATCGGCATCCCCAACATGGCCACCTCCTTCGTCTTTTTGTTGTACTCAGAGTTACCGGCCCTGAGCATGGTGACTATTTCCCACAACCAGTGGCTACCTGGAGGGATGAGAATATATAGTACATTTCGGTAAGGCCGAAATTAACATTTTCAGGAAAAAGAAGTTACCATCCAGTTCCTTCAGCAAGACCTGTGCATAATGCTTAGTATCTGAAGGGTCAGACTCTCCGCCCTCATATGAGTGCGTGGGGCTGGCCTTTGTTCCAAACTAACAACATCAAAATCGAGTTACGTACAGTGAACCGACTATACCCGCCGTAACAAAGCTCCTGAGTAGTGACGACTGCAGTCCACGGTAACAAGAGTTTAGTCACTTTCCAAACGAGGACACGTCGGCAGTGTTCTGACACGAAATTATTCCACACCTATCCCAATTTTGGTTGTCAAATTTTACAACATAAATAATGTTTTCACATAATGCTATATTGAAGAATTATGAAGACTGCATATTGTCTGCGCTGGACACCTGTGGTCTTGTCGTTCCAGTCAGAATAGACAGATATGAGTAGTGTGTGTGAAGTGGACTCGTTGTCTTTTGGAAAAAACATTCCCGTGACAGCCAGAGAGGGTATGTTGCACTGGATAACACTGGACCACGCGTCCAGTGATAATCAGTCACACTGGAAGTTAAAAGATTTATCTAAGAATAATTTGAGACAATCTCTGGTTCTTACCACATTTTGGATATGCCGCTACCATGACGTCATCGTCCCTCAGTTGGAACGTCTGAACTTTTTTGAGCAGTTTCATATCACCTTCGGGGGTTTTGCCAATTCTTCGGAGGACGCCGTCAATTTTGTAGAAGCGCCATCCTTGACCTTTTTCATTCCGGTAGTCAAGAATCTCGGGGGTTCTTTGAAGAATGAGCGAACGTTTTGATTTATATCACGGTTTGGACACACTAAGTCTTGTGAGGGAAATTCTGGCACATGCCATAGATGCTTACCAGTAGCAATAGGTATGATGTTGCAAACCAGGGATCAACATTATGATTGGTCACCTATGGTTTCGAACCAGTTCATCCTGGCCTTGGCAGGGGACGCAATTCTGTACTATAAATAGCAAAGTCATCGACAATTGAGTGTCAGCTGTGTTAAGTGGAATATTATTCAAACCTTAATACTAAAATACAAATTTTGATTTGGGCGTAGTTGACAAAAGGGTTTATCTATGAACACATATGCCCACATGTATTATTGAGTTGAGTCCCATCCGGAATTTGAATCTACTGAGTGAATGTCAGGCAACTTATCGCCATTTACACTTGTCAGAGGGTTCACAAATTATATAGTTGGCTGAGGGGGTTGGATCGCTGACCTTGTGTGCTGGAGGTTAGGTACCTGACTCTGGGAGTGTGGATCCGATCCCGAGTTAGATTCACCCCCAGGACTATTATGCTTTACCGAGAAGGTGCTATCATAAATACTACATATGCTACACACTGAACGAGTGTAACCCCCTATCCCAGCAAAATAAACATGTACATTTCTTACCAATTCGTGTCATTCCGAGAGGATATATGTAATCAATTCACCCCATAATCCTCTACGGGCCATATAGATGACAGCTGAAGCCATCAATTGTGACCACAAAATGGGGGCGTAGTTCAGTGAACATCTGCTTAACACATTTGTGGCCCTGAATGGTGTTCCCTAATGATAAAACCTGCACTGACGCGGAAGTGTATTTGAGAGTAACATGTACATACTGCTGGTGTTCCGATTAATTGAAATAATCGAAGATTGGTCGTAGTGACCAAACGACCAAGCCATTGATCACATTTACTCGTAATCGAACACAAACGATTTTGGAACTATTGTTTTAGTGTTTGAAACACTTGATGATGGAACATATCTTCGAAGTTGTCAACCTGAAAACTTGTTTAATTCTTAGAAAACTCACTTCACTAACTGAAAAGTCATGACTGAATATTTCTTGAAAACTCCAGGAAGTTCATGTTCATGATATATTAGTCATCACTTTAAGAAGCGAGTTGCATCATGTTAAACTTATCTGCATTAACAACCTGCATAGGAAAATCTGAAAAATGACGCTAGCCAAGTTTTTTCGATGATTGTTCGTTGGTAATGAAGTATTCATCAATTGTGAGATTTCAGCCAATACCCAACACTAATACTTACTGGGGATCTTCCATGTCAAACAGTACTTGTAAGGACCGACTCCTGAAACTGTCCTGCTTCTTTACTCAACTTTGTACTCCTCACATGACTTTGCTCTTAACCTAGTCACGTGTGTACACAGATACCGACAATTACATGCAACTTTCAAGTACCTGAACTCAGTTTTATCTTGTGCATGATTGTTGGTCTACGCACAGGCCTAGCTTGGGGGTGCACGCAGATTAAACAGCGACGTGGAAAGTCAACAGTCTGAATCCCAGAGTTGCTCCGATTGTGAATTATACACAAAGGGTATATTTTAGCACCCCCTATTTTATTGCAATGATAGGTTTTCAACGAGTACGTAAAATTTCTCGTGGTGACCACCATAGCAAAACTATTATGATCCTATGACTAATAAAAACGACAAAATGGTTGGAATCTATGTTGGTTTTTAAGATGATAAATGGTCATTTAAACAAAACACTGATTTTCATATAAAACCATGTCTGTATAAGTATGGCCCTGGAATGTTTAATGTGGAATATATTGGTGAATGTGAACATTCAAAATGTCATTTTGCGTATCTTACACGATTCAAGGTCAATACAGAGTGTAACCTCCATGTGACTGTATCACAGCTAACACTCTCCTCCTCATACCTCCTGCCAGCCTCCTGATCCTTTGAAGGGGCAGTCTACGCCATTCCTCGTGTAAAGCAGCTTCCTGGTTCTGTACAGGAAATGCCTTTATTGCATACTACGACCAACCATGTCCCAGGTATGCTCCAAAGGGTTAAGATCAGGGCTCATTCAGATATGTCGGCGGTGCTTAACTAAGTTCTTATGACAAGTTTATGATATGTTTACACTGGACTGCAACAGGGTTAAAATCGGATATACACTTCATCTGAAGTATATCAAAACTCGTTGCTTGTCTACTTCTTTAACTTTAGCTCCGAGTCGAGTTGATCCCATCTTTGTGTGCAGTATTTTTTGTCTCACGGCTGGTCAGGTGACTGATGTAAAGGGTTGCGTCCCTTTACCATGCCAGGACTTGTCATTGTGTGCTCGACTGACGGATCTCCCTTGTCATGTGACATCTCCTTACTCATGCTCGTCGGTTTCCCCAAAGCAGCACACATCGGGAAATGTACAGAATGAAGGATGGAAGTAAAATACTGTAAAGCGGCCATATTATTGGTTTGTTTGTTGTTCAACGCCGCACTCAGCAACAATCAAGGTATATGACCCTATCTAACCATTTTAACACACATGTAAAAACAATTATTTTGCATATTTTATATTTATGTTTTACACGTTATGAACACAGAGAAAAAATATAACACGCTTGAGGTCTATAACTTATCTGAATACAAGCATTATTGTACTTAATAGTACTAACTACACTGTAAATCTACATTTAAGCATATTTCTCTTTGTAACATTGAAATTTAATGTATATATTTAAAAATCAAAGTAATTATATATGCATAAGGGGTGGATCACGTCAGTTCGAGTACATGTTCACAATATCTTTGACAATGTATTTCAATAAAGAAATTATTTTACTGCCATACCCAAGAGTTAAGCCTTGGTGTGTTTGGAGGCATTGGAGGCCTATTCGTTTCAGTAGCCGCATATGGATGTACTGAATGACGTCCTTAAGTTGTAGCAGGATCCGCTGACCGTGCTTTCGAATCCCAGATTCGTTCTGATTATACTTGTTCTGTCGGTACAAGGTCCAAGCTTGAAGTTCACGGAAGTATGTCATTTCATTCATGAATAGGTTTCCCACTGAACCATGGGATTGTCTCCCTTGGTCTTCCAGGACTTTTCTGAAAATCGATGTCCTGCCATACGTAAACATGTGGCCCATAACATTTGACCTCACAACAAGTACTGAAATACTTGGACCTACTCTTACCCATGTGTGCTCGTACAACAAGCACTGAAATACTTGGACCTATTCTTATCCACGTGTGTCCTTACAACAAGTACTGAAATACTTTTTGGACCCACTCTTATCCATGTGTGTCCTTACAACAAGCACTGAAATACTTGGACCTACTCTTATCCATGTGTGTCCTTACAACAAGCACTGAAATACTTGGACCTATTCTTACCCATGTGTGTCCGTACAACAAGCACTGAAATACTTGGACCTATTCTTACCCATGTGTGTTCGTACAACAAGCACTGAAATACTCGGCCCTATTCTTATCCATGTGTGTCCGTACAACAAGCACTGAAATACTTGGACCTATTCTTACCCATGTGTGTCCGTACAACAAGCACTGAAATACTTGGACCTATTCTTACCCATGTGTGTCCTCACAAACAGCAATAACATACTTTGTACCACACTGACCAACACAGCAACCAACAGAATCCTTTAGACCTTCTCCTATCCATGTGTGTCCTCACAAACAGCAATAACATACTTGGTACCACACTGACCAACACAGCAACCAACATAATCCTTTAGACCTTCTCCTATCCATGTGTGTCCTCACAAACAGCAATAACATACTTGGTACCACACTGACCAACACAGCAACCAACATAATCCTTTAGACCTTCCCTATCTATGTGTGTCCTCACAAACAGCAATAACATACTTGGTACCACACTGACCAACACAGCAACCAACATAATCCTTTAGACCTTCTCTTATCCATGTGTGTCCTGTTCATCACTGACAGAGACTCCAATGAACTCGGCAACCTATCTGATGTTTTTAACAGGATCCTAAAAACAAACATGTTAGACTTATCCCGAACAAGTGTAATAGTGAGCACTTACCATTGCACTGCAGGCAGTGCTATTGCCGTTGAGGAAATATAGAATTATGGATATTCCAGTAATCTAAAGGCAAACGTGTGTTTAAATAACAACTATGCCCCAGTACAGTTAACTAAACATATATATAGATGCACCTAAGGATCTTATGATACTACCTTCCAAATATTACCAGATGGGAAATGCAAACTGACAAAACACTCGCCCCTTTTCTCAAACCCTGTTATGACACTATGACAAATGACACTATGCAATCGTGTTTCATGGTATCGAAAATGATCAAAGAAATTGATAATCGATGTTGATGCCCCTAATACGGGTGTTATAGGCAATATCACACGCATCGCATCAATGAGCAACTCAACAGATGATGACATGCACATGACACAGCTTCATGCTAATTTCGAGTTTAACGTTATCAATTATTGTGATCCACCACCAGCGATTACATTCAAATCTTCAAACCATATACCCAGCAAACCATTAAGACCATGTAAGGCACCAAGGTCAACTACAAACCTTTTTCAAGTTTTCATAAAACAATGTCAACATTGGCACGTCCGGGTTGTCCTGTTTCACTTGCAGCCAAGCATTCACGTAGTCGACATAATCTGCACTGATCACTGAAACATGGAAGGGAGTTTATATAGCATGTGTGTATATATACGCATTGGTCTATAAAAATAGTGAAGCACCGATGTAAAAGTGCAACATTTGAAGCCTACATTCAGGTCGGAGCATGTACCACACATGACATCGGCATCTGAAAGCGTGTAAATACCCGAGCCAGATCAGAGCATCTGAACAAATATTTCACACAGTTGCACTGTAGGGCATCAGGGCCCATCATTCACACCGTAGCACTTCAGGACATCTGATTCCACATTCTTACAGCAGCACTTCAGGACATCCGGGCCCACATTCTTACAGCAGCCCTTCAGGGCATCCGGGCCCACATTCTTACAGCAGCATTCAAGGCATCTGATTCCGAATTCTTAAAGCAGCCCTTCAGGGCATCCGGGACCACATTCTTACAGCAGCACTTCAGGGCATCCGGGCCCACACAGCAGCACTTCAGGGCATCCGGGCCCACATTTTTACAGCAGCCCTTCAGGGCATCCGGGCCCACATTCTTACAGCAGCATTCAAGGCATCTGATTCCGAATTCTTAGAGCAGCCCTTCAGGGCATCCGGGCCCACATTCTTACAGCAGCACTTCAGGGCATCCGGGCCTACACAGCAGCACTTCAGGGCATCTGATTCCACATTCTTAAAGCAGCACTTCAGGGCATCCGGGCCCATATTCTTACAGCAGCACTTCAGGGCATCCGGGCCCACATTCTTACAGCAGCCCTTCAGGGCATCCGGGCCCACAGTCGTACAGCAGCCATTCAGGCCATCTGATTCCACATTCTTATAGCAGCACTTCAAGGCATCTGATTCCACATTCTTACAGCAGCATTCAAGGCATCTGATTCCACATTCTTACAGCAGCACTTCAAGGCATCTGATTCCACATTTTTACAGCAGCACTTCAAGGCATCTGATTCCACATTCTTACAGCAGCATTCAAGGCATCTGATTCCACATTCTTACAGCAGCATTCAAGGCATCTGATTCCACATTCTTACAGCAGCATTTCAAGGCATCTGATTCCACATTCTTACAGCAGCATTCAAGGCATCTGATTCCACATTCTTACAGCAGCACTTCAGGGAATCTGATTCCACATTCTTACAGCAGCACTTCAGGGCATCTGATTCCACATTCTTACAGCAGCACTTCAAGGCATCTGATTCCACATTCTTACAGCAGCATTCAAGGCATCTGATTCCACATTCTTACAGCAGCACTTCAGGGCATCTGATTCCACATTCTTACAGCAGCATTCAAGGCATCTGATTCCACATTCTTACAGCAGCATTCAAGGCATCTGATTCCACATTCTTACAGCAGCACTTCAGGGCATCTGATTCCACATTCTTACAGCAGCACTTCAGGGCATCTGATTCCACATTCTTACAGCAGCATTCAAGGCATCTGATTCCACATTCTTACAGCAGCATTCAAGGCATCTGATTCCACATTCTTACAGCAGCATTCAAGGCATCTGATTCCACATTCTTACAGCAGCATTCAAGGCATCTGATTCCACATTCTTACAGCAGCACTTCAGGGCATCTGATTCCACATTCTTACAGCAGCACTTCAGGGCATCTGATTCCACATTCTTACAGCAGCATTCAAGGCATCTGATTCCACATTCTTACAGCAGCATTCAAGGCATCTGATTCCACATTCTTACAGCAGCATTCAAGGCATCTGATTCCACATTCTTACAGCAGCATTCAAGGCATCTGATTCCACATTCTTACAGCAGCATTCAAGGCATCTGATTCCACATTCTTACAGCAGCACTTCAGGGAATCTGATTCCACATTCTTACAGCAGCACTTCAGGGCATCTGATTCCACATTCTTACAGCAGCACTTCAAGGCATCTGATTCCACATTCTTACAGCAGCATTCAAGGCATCTGATTCCACATTCTTACAGCAGCACTTCAGGGCATCTGATTCCACATTCTTACAGCAGCACTTCAAGGCATCTGATTCCACATTCTTACAGCAGCATTCAAGGCATCTGATTCCACATTCTTACAGCAGCACTTCAGGGCATCTGATTCCACATTCTTACAGCAGCACTTCAGGGCATCTGATTCCACATTCTTACAGCAGCACTTCAGGGCATCTGATTCCACATTCTTACAGCAGCACTTCAGGCCATCTGATTCCACATTCTTACAGCAGCATTCAAGGCATCTGATTCCACATTCTTACAGCAGCACTTCAGGGCATCTGATTCCACATTCTTACAGCAGCATTCAAGGCATCTGATTCCACATTCTTAAAGCAGCACTTCAGGGCATCCGGGCCCATATTCTTACAGCAGCACTTCGGGGCATCCGGGCCCACATTCTTACAGCAGCCCTTCAGGGCATCCGGGCCCACAGTCGTACAGCAGCCATTCAGGCCATCTGATTCCACATTCTTATAGCAGCACTTCAAGGCATCTGATTCCACATTCTTACAGCAGCACTTCAAGGCATCTGATTCCACATTCTTACAGCAGCACTTCAGGGCATCTGATTCCACATTCTTACAGCAGCACTTCAGGGCATCCAAACCCACATTCTTACAGCAGCCCTTCAGTTGTTGAAGACAAGGACAATCAAAGTATTATTTCTGCTTTTTTTCTGTAAATGATAATTGAATAAAGCAGTTATGCCTTCAGATGGATATAAACATGTAAATACACATTGATAAGCATATCATACCATCCGGCTCCATGGTTGTTACTATGAGGCTTAAAATAAACAACATCTACATATCACTCTCGTTTTCCTTCCAGAAAGAGATCCAGATATTCTGAATACGTTCCATCAAACCTAATACTCAGATTTAGTCCGTTAAGCTGGTTAAAAAGAGATACGCTGACATCTTTTGGATTTCGCATGATGAAGATTGTTTTTATCGTCTTCTCCGCCTATTCTCGGGACAAGAATACTATTTGACAGCAAAATGTGATACAGTTCCAACCAGCAAACCAACCTCTATAAGTATATGACCAGTCCGTAAGAATTATATTGTTTGCAATGTGATTGCAGTTCCTTTTGTGTCAAATGGGTGACTGTAGGGTGTCTGGGATTATGCTTCAGACGGGGGAAAATAGAAATTATCTGCTACAAAAATTACACTGGAGTTATTTTGTTAAAAAGAAAATAGGATCCTAGATCTCATTACTAACGTAGCAAGTCTCCATACAAGATCCCAGCCTGGTCGAGCAGATAAGTTATTCCCCCCAAAAGGTGAATTATAAAATACTTGTCAGGACAATGTATGTTTCCCCAGTGTTTGGTTATGGAAATAGTTATGGTACTCGGCCATAGACTTAAAATGGCATCTTTTCAGCCAATGTGAACACAGAACAACTTTCACGGCACACACTACTGACAAATAGCGAGCCTGATGCCGACGTGCGTAATTGGACAAAATGCAAAACAATGAAAGGAACAAGTACTTCATGATTTGCCGTTGTATTCGGCAATGTTTCGGGTAGGGCTCCAAACCGAAAAGAACGTCCCAGCGAAACATTTTCAACGGGTTTACTGATTTTAATAATACATATCTCATGGGTACCAGTGGAACTGCCCCAGCTAAAAAATGTCCCAGCAAATTTGGTCATTTATGGCCCATATTTAATCATTTTAAATAAATTGGGGCATTTTAACTACCCTCCTGGGGCAATTTGACCAAACTCCGGGGCAATTTGAGCAAATTTGCTGGAGCAATTTGGAGCGGGGGCAATTCGACTGGCAATCGTACTTGATTTAATTTATGTTAAAAATACCACTGACAGTAAGCTGTAACAGGGAATGATGGAGTATAAATGAATCTCGTGGGTAGTTCTTCCTTCTTCAGCCTAGCTTTGGGATTTGTATGCCCCATGTGTGCATGTCTCTTTCATATGCGTCCGACTCGGAATGATCGGAGCATTTCTCCTGCCTAAGTCTGTCTCTTTACTTGGAAAACGGAAGAAATGGTGGCTTTCCATTGTTCGATGATTCCGTGCATCCCCAGGCAACAGAATACGCTGTCGTACCAGTTACAAAAACGACAGAAACAACACGATTTGTACTACTTTAGCGCTTGGTCTTTGGCAATATGGCGGACTCCAAGCACATTTGACGTCACGAGCTTTCACCCAGCAAATTATTGCAATTCACTCGTGTTATATACATAACAACTCGTATTCTCCTTGAAGTTAAGCAATGTTGGTAGATGGATGGGTTCACTCAATATCATGAGTTTCTTGTGTCATAGAACGACCTGCTTACTGCAGAGTTAAAGAAACGCCATTCATTCACAGAATAGATTACTCATTCATTCAGTACATTATCCAGCTTGGGTTCTTACCACATGTGGGATATGCTGCAATCAAGACGTCATCGTCCCTAAGTTCCAGTTTCTGAACTTTTCGGAGCTTCTCCATATCAGCTTTTGGAGTTGTAACAGCCGGCCAAAGAAGGCCGTCATTTTTATAAAAGGACCATCCATGACCATTCGCATTCCGGTAGTCCAGAATCTCTGGAGTTCTGTGAAGAATCACGTGTTGGGTTCGATTTAACGCTGTTTTGAATGATATGACGGTTTAGAATCACTTGTGTGAGGAAACTGCTTGGTGCTACTTAAAAAAAAGACTATTTTCCCACAAACCAAGGATCAATATTATGTTGAACCTGGGTGTGGACTTCGTGGATTCTAGCCCTCGTAAGGGACGCAACAATGTGCAGGTAGTTGAGTGACAGTCGCATTTAAATAAATGATATCAATGCAATCTTGAAAGAAAAGCTGTTGGTGCAATTTGATGGAATGGGTACCTTGCTCTGTTTGGCCCATGTTTGAATGTAACGATTACTTCCCTGTGATTAGCAGCATACACATGTACAATCGTGACCAATTCACCTCATTTAGAAACAGGATGGGTACGGAAAAAAGCACTGCACTGACGCAGAATAATGGGAGGAACAAGTACTCACCGCTCACCTTCCATTTTGATCACTACGTGCGATCAACGCTTGTAACTGACTTTCTTCAACACAACAACTTTGTACTCCTCAGGTGACTTTGCTACTACCAATAAAATGGAAGGAATCGCCCCAACCAATGGTCCAGTTCGCTGTTGATAAGCATCACTTTTCTAGTCGACTGTGTAAGTGTTGGTTCTTGGGGAGCAAGGCCAGGACAGCAAGACGCGAGGATATCTCACAGCTATTTCAGTCAACCTGACACGCTCTTATTAAGGCTGCATATGCAAGTCATTTATGTAGAAAAAAAAGTGCAGTATATTCGCTGTGCAGACTTGCGTCACTTGGGTATATATGACAGCGGTTTGTGGAAAGCCAGTTTGTAATGAATATGTTTCCTGGCTTACCTACGCCATACTCATAAGAGTACGTGGGTTGGATGAGCGGTGAATGTGATCAGCTGTTACGCCAGCAAATTTTAATTGCTTCAAGTATCAGTTAAGAAGATCCGACAGAAAACGGACTCTCCAGCGGAATATTTCCAATGTGTCAGCGACCCACGTTAAATGTTCACATACAACATTGCTGTTGATCTAAATTCTTGGCGGTAAAATGGCACAGAAGAATTGAGTTAAATGAATAATCCTAAGCAAAATATATGAAAGGATGCCACGTTCCACATACATCTGAAGGTATCGCCAAGGGTCTAAAGATATGTACAATAGCTTAAAGTTAACAGAACAAAATGGTAAAGATTTATCAAAGAAGAAGATAGCAAAGTTACAAACATGAATGAAGTTACTAGACAACCAACGAATGATTTGTGACTGTCGTCCGTATTACATACCTATTCCATTTACTGATAAAATTTACAATAACCTTCTTACGTAATTGTACCAGTTCCTCAAAAGACACAGCCCAAAGAACTCAACGACTACAGGCCAGTTCCTCTCACATAGCAATGAAGTCGCTGGAACGCATCTTGAGACATCTCCGACAGGAAGTTGCCAACATACTGGACCCGCTTCAGTTCGCCTACAGGTCAAGGAGAGGAGTTGTTGATGCCACACTGTCACTCCTTAATAATGTCTATAAACATGTAGAGACACCTAAGTCATACATCAGGATCCTCTTCGTTGACTTTTTTCATCTGCGTTCAACACCATCCAGCCACATATCATGATACAGAAACCGTTAGACATTGGCGTTAACTCATACCTCATCAAGTGGCTCGAAAACTTTCTTGTGGACGGACAGCAGTACGTGAAAGTTAACGGGGCTGTATCGAGTAAACGGACCACCAACACTGGTGCACCACAAGGCTGTGTAATATCTCCTGTTCTTTTCGCCCTCTACACTAATGATTGTGCAAGCTCGAATTCAACCTGTTCAACTGTCAAGTTCGCAGATGATGCAGCACTTGTCGGCAAACTGAACTACACTGATTCTGAAGAACTGTATAAAGAGGACATCAATCATTTTACGACTTGGTGTGCAGAAAACCACTTACTCTTAAATTACCCAAAAACAAAGAAACTGATAATTGACTTTCGGAGTAAGCCCACAGAAATGCTTCCAGTGATAATCAACGGTGAATGCGTTGAGACAGTGTCGGAGCATAAGTATCTGGGAACCTTCATTGACTCTAAGCTGAACTGGAACTAACACTGAAGCCCTATACAAAAAGTGTCAACAACGTCTTCATCTCATGCGTAAACTGAGATCTTTTAATGTTAACCCATCTGTGATGTCATCTTTTTATGCAGCATTTATTCAGAGTATTTTAACATTTTCTTCCATTGTTGGTAAGGGTCTCTCTTATCGCATCTCATATCTAAATTAGACAATATTGTTAACACTGCAAGTAAAATCGCTGGAGTCAGATTTGAATGTTTATCACCAGTATATGAGCGGCAAATCGTCAATCAAGCTGTCAAGATTATATCTGACTGTACTCACTACTTAAACCTCCTCCCTTCAGGCCGCCGCTACAAAGTTCCAATTGTGAAAACTAAGAGAGCCCGTACATCCTTTATTCCAAGTACCATTTCTCTCTTAAACAAATGTAAAGATACCTAAATCAATGAATTTCATGTAAATATGTTTTGTGTCTCTTTAATGTGTCAGTAGCTCTGCTGATGTAACACAAATTTCTGAAAAGGCATTAAAGTATTCTATTCTATTCTATTCTATTCTATTCTATTCTATTCTATTCTATTCTATTCTATTCTATTCTATTCTATTCTATTCTATTCTATTCTATTCTATTCTATTCTATTCTATTACTGCGACCTTGAGATTATGCCATTTAGTTTGACCGAAGCATCGATGGCCAGTTGCGAGTATGCCACCAAGGTATATGTGGCACGCACTTGATTTGGCTATGAGATATAAACATACAATACATATAAACATAATGCATCTTGCTTCTATTAGCTGCATAGATACTCGTTCCGGATTTTGTCATATGCCCGTTATCAATGTGACCCCAGGCGGGTGAGATACAAACATACAATCTAGATTTAAACACAATGCACACTACTTCTATTAGCTTCACAGATACTCGTCCCGGATTTTGTCCTATACATGTTATCAATGTAACCCTTGGCAGGTGTAAGATAGTGGAACGTGTAACTAGTCTGTGATATTTTGAGTTTTCAATAATGTACCGTCATGAAATATTTGTTAAACTTTTGTCAGTTTCCACCATTTTAATAATAGTGAGTGAGTGAGTGAGTTAGATTTACGCCGCACTCAGCAATATTCCAGCAATATGGTGGCGGTCTGATAATAATCGAGTCTGGACCAGACAATCCAGAGATCAACATCATGAACATCGATCTGCACAATTGGGAACCGATGACATGTGTCAGCCAAATCAGCGAGCCTGACCACCCGATCCCGTTAGTCGCATCTTACGACAAGCATAGTCGCCTTTTGTGGCAAGCATGGGTTGCTGAAGACCTATTCTACCCCGGATCTTTTCGGGTCCATTTTAATAATAGTAATATGGAGGAAACTGGAAAACTTTAACATATTTCATGACATATATCATCATGAAATATATGTGTAACTTTGTCAGTTTAAACAACCAATCAATTTATCGTGTATTCAGTAGTATGGCCAAATAACCTTGAGTACAGTTATTTAAGAGTATATTATAAGTTGTTCACTGGTCACGAGGGGTCATGGGTTGATGTAAACTCGATGTTTGTTTATGTTCCCCGAGCCCGAGCCCGAAGCCCCCTCGTGACCAGTGAAGAACTTATAATATACTCTTAAATATCTGGGTACATCAACTCATGGGCCCCTAGGAACCAATCAACAGAGTATTTATCTTACCGAACACCTAACTGTTAATTGTGAATTGTTTGAAGCACAATCTTTTTGTAACCATCGCTAGATTTTGCTGACAAGAAAAACAGATTTAGAGTTATCTCCCTTCCATCGATTTGCATTCGCAATACATCGGTAATTTCCGTACATCATGCGTGATTCAATGTAATTCGAGATAAAGAATTACTACCACGAAGTACCAAATAAGTTGCCATTGACAACGGGGTACATTGAAATGTTACTCGCTTGTAAGCGGGGTACACTGAAAATTTTACAAGAGCGCTCAGCCAATCAGAGAGAGAGAGGATAATAATAATAATAGCTTCAAGGACATAGCTTCTTTAAATATAAACAGTATCAAACTAATATACCGGTAAATACATTGTAAGTTACTTGTATTTCCCTTAGCTTTGTTGTGACATGTAAAGTGTATATAACATGAATAACTGTTGATGGCACAACACAAATACAACTCACTCTTCGATGAATACTCATGGATAGTATTTGGTATTTAGTGTTCACAACCCCATGATCACCATATAACCCGTTATTCATACGTGAATACAATGCCCGCTCCTTGAAATCGGCGTTCAATGACGTCATCAAATGTTTCGTTCTGTGCAACTGTTATCCAGTTCTTCCAATCCCCAACTTCACCTGAAACAGCACATAGTCATGTTCAAAGGCGAGTGATAATTGTAAGGCCATTAAGCAGCACTTGACCAGCTGCTTAAGTACGTCATTCATGAGTAATTCCTGAAGATAGTAACACAGAAGCAATTCTGTAATTTGTCAGTGTCACAAAGCCTCCTATAAAAGTTGCGCCTCAGGTTACCCCTAGATCAAGTTGTTTGATTTTTTGTTTTTTTGTTTTTTGTTGTTGTGGTCAGCCATACTGAAAATCGGCTTGATCTATATATCCATATGTGCTCATGAGTACGTCAGTATCAGTACTTGGATCTACACTATCCACTGTCTTCATTTAATGTATGAAGGACACGTAGGAAACAATGACAAAGAGGGACAAAGGCCAATTGTACCTTTTCTATACCATCTATGGTGACCTTCCTTCCAGATGTCAGACTGATTTCTGGCGTGCTCCTTGATTTCAGTATCTGCCGATTTCAGCTTCTTAAAGCTGCACGCTTCTGCTATTTGCTCACATAGTTCATCACTGACAGACAATCCAATGAACTCGGCAACAGTTCTGATGTTTGTAACAGGATCCTAAAATCAACCAAATAGGCGTTGTCATCCCGAACAAATGTTGTAAAGAGCACTTACCCTTAATAATTAGCAGTACTATTGCCGTTGAAGAAACATAGAATTATGGATAGTCCAGTATACTAAAGGTAAACGAATGTTTAAATAATGAATAACCCCCTTTAACTAAAGATGTATAATGATATACCAGAGAACTAATGACATACCTTCCAAATGTCATCAGATTGATCAACGGGAACTGCAAACTAACAAAACACTCGCCCCTTTTCTCAAACCCTGTGACAGCAGCACGTGAAAACTGACAGACAAAGTAAAATATGTTCTCATGTTATTTAAAATGATCAAGGAATTGATGATCGATCTTGCTGCACTTGATACGAGCATTATAGGCAATATCACAAACATCATATCAATGGGCAACTCAACAGATGTCATACACAGGACGCAGTTATAGGTACATTTCTAGTTTATTTAGATGTTACAGCTGAACGTCATCAATTACTGTTCTGGACCACCGGTGTTTACATTCAAATCTTCAAACCGTCTACCCAGTAAACCAAATGGCCATATTGTTGACAAAAGGCATCTAAGACAGCTACAAACCTTTTTCAAGTTTTCATAAAACAGTGTCAACATTGGCAAGTCCGGGTTGTCCTGTTTCACTTGCAGCCAATCCTTCACGTAGTCGGCATAATCACTATTACTCACTGAAATTTTGGAAGGAATTTTATACAACATATCTATCTATCTATCTATCTATCTATCTATCTATCTATCTATCTATCTATCTATCTATCTATCTCTATCTATCTATCTATCTATCTATCTATCTATCTATCTATCTATCTATCTATCTATCTATCTATCTATCTATATTGGCACAGATGATGCAGCGATGTAACAGTGCAGCATTTCAAGCACGCATTCAGGTCGGAGATTATAGCTCACATGACAGCATCATCTAAAAGCGTGTCAGTACCCATTCAGACACACCTATCTCAACTCATGTACACAATAGCACTTCATGGCATCCGAACCTACATTCACACAGAGCACTTCAGGGCATCTGAACCTACATTCACACAGAGCACTTCAGGACATCTGAACCTACATTCACACAGCAGAACTTGAGGTCATCTGAACCTACATTCACATAGCAGCACTTCAGGGCATCTGAACTTACATTCACACAGAGCACTTCAGGACATCTGAACCGACATTCACACAGTAGCACCTCAGGGCATCTCAACCTACATTCACACAGCAGAACTTCAGGATTTCTGAACCTACATTCACACAGCAGCACTTCAGGGCATCTGAACCTACATTCACACAGAGCACTTCAGGGCGTCTGAACCTGCGTTCACACAATAGCATCTCAGGGCATCTGAACCTACATTCAAACAGCAGAACTTCAAGTCATCTGAACCTACATGCACACAGAGCACTTCAAGGCATCTGAACCTACATTCACACAGTAGCACCTTCAGAGCATCTGAACCTACATTCACACAGAGCACTTCAGGGCATCTGAATCTGCATTCACACAGTAGCATCTCAGGGCATCCGAACCTACATTCACACAGTAGCACCTCAGGGCATCTGAACCTACATTCACACAGAGCACTTCAGGGCATCTGAACCTGTATTCACACAGTAGCATCTCAGGGCATCTGAACCTACATTCACACAGCAGAACTTCAGGGCATCTGAACCTACATTCACACAGAGCACTTCAGGGCATCTGAACCTACATTCACAGAGTAGCACTTCAGGGCATCTGAGCCTACATGCACACCGTAACACTTCCGGGCATCTGAACCTACATTCACGTAGCAGCACTTCAGGGTATCTGAACCTACATTCAAATAGCAGCACTTCAGGGTACCTGAACCTACATTCACGCAGTAGTACTTCAGGGCATCTGAACCTACATTCACACAGTAGCACCTCGGGGCATCTGAATTTTCATTCATATAGCTGCATTTGGGGCTTCTGAGCCTACATTTACGTAGTAGAATTTGTATGCATCTAAACCGATTTCAGGAGCAGCTCTAATAGAGAACTGCTATCTGCATTCCACTAGCGGCACGTCAGATCATTGAACATCACGAGAGCCCAGTTGAAACCAACATTTCGGGATAGATTGCTAGATTGCTTTAGACCCTATTTGGGAAGGGAAGTACGTGAGAGTGTTAAAAACTCTTATTCAGATAGCAACACTTCAGAGCAATTAAAGCCACATTCAGAAAGAAACACGAGCATTTAAACCCAAATTCACAGAGCAGACCGGAGGAGTGTCTATGTCTACAGCCCGACAGGAGCAGACAGACAGCATCAATTAAACTCAAATTGGACAGCAGCACGTCACAGAGTTTATACCATGCAGCATGTCGGAACATAGAAACCCACATTCAGGAAACTGTACCTCAGAGGATGTACACTCATTTTCATGGAGCAGCACTTCAGAGCATGTACATCCACACTTAGGCAAAATACCACAGAGCATTTAAACCCACATTGTCACTACAGCTCATCCGGGCCTGCAAACCCACATTCAGGAACATTGAAACCCATCTTGGGACAGTACAACACATCGGTACAAAGTCCTACATTCAGGAACATTGACACCCATCTTGGGACAGTACAACACATAGGTACAAAGTCCTACATTCAGGAACATTGACACCCATCTTGCGACAGTACAACACATAGGTACAAAGTCATACATTCAGGAACATTGACACCCATCTTGGGACAGTACAACACATCGGTACAAAGTCAGGACATTCAGGAACATTGACACAGGAACATTGACACCCATCTTCGGACAGTACAACACATCGGTACAAAGTCCTACATTCAGGAACATTGACACCCATCTTGGGACAGTACAACACATAGGTACAAAGTCATACATTCAGGAACATTGACACCCATCTTGGGACAGTACAACACATCGGTACAAAGTCATACATTCAGGAACATTGACACCCATCTTGGGACAGTACAACACATAGGTACAAAGTCATACATTCAGGAACATTGACACCCATCTTGGGACAGTACAACACATCGGTACAAAGTCCTACATTCAGGAACATTGACACCCATCTTGGGACAGTACAACACATTGGTACAAAGTCCTACATTCAGGAACATTGACACCCATCTTTGGACAGTACAACGCATAGGTACAAAGTCCTACATTCAGGAACATTGACACCCATCTTGCGACAGTACAACACATCGGTACAAAGTCATACATTCAGGAACATTGACACCCATCTTGGGACAGTACAACACATCGGTACAAAGTCCTACATTCAGGAACATTGACACCCATCTTGGGACAGTACAACACATAGGTACAAAGTCCTACATTCAGGAACATTGACACCCATCTTGGGACAGTACAACACATCGGTACAAAGTCCTACATTCAGGAACATTGGGGACAGTACAACACATAGGTACAAAGTCATACATTCAGGAACATTGACACCCATCTTGGGACAGTACAACACATAGGTACAAAGTCATACATTCAGGAACATTGACACCCATCTTGGGACAGTACAACACATAGGTACAAAGTCATACATTCAGGAACATTGACACCCATCTTGGGACAGTACAACACATAGGTACAAAGTCCTTCAGGAACATTGACACCCATCTTGGGACAGGTAACATTGACACCCATCTTGGGACAGTACAACACATCGGTACAAAGTCCTACAGGAACATTGACACCCATCTTGGACAGTACATAGGTGTCGTACATTCAGGAACATTGACCATCTTGGGACAGTACAACACATCGGTACAAAGTCATACATTCAGGAACATTGACACCCATCTTGCGACAGTACAACACATAGGTACAAAGTCATACATTCAGGAACATTGACACCCATCTTGGGACTGCACAACACATCGGTACAAAGTTCTACATTCAAGAACATTGACACCCATCTTGCGACAGTACAACACATCGGTACAAAGCATCAAGTCAGAGCATTCAATTATTCAATTGAACTTTAAAGCACATTTACGGAGCAACTTGTCTAAAAATGTGAACCAACATTCAGCCAGCAGCTCATCAGAACGTTCCAACTCACACGGAAACAGCAGCATATGGGGACGTGAGAAAACTTTTATCTTATGAGTTTAGAAAGTGGAAGACGGTGTGTATTGACTCCGACACCTCTGTACGTCAAGAGTGAGCATGTCGGTAAACCCACATCTGGTTAGCTTCTTACCGAGATGCCGACATCGAAAACGATGCAATCTCAATGAAGATACTATTAGTCCCTGAATATCCCATCTCCCTTGGGCTCTCGTGATGAATCTGTCTGTTTACATGACAAAATTTCACACTTCCATAAAACGAATTTTGAACCCATCCAGTCACTAACTATTAGACAATGAGTTTTTAATGCTGCTTTGAAAGGCACATCAGTCGACTCACCGCTTCCTTATTAAACGAGGGACGAAGGCCCGAAGTGATACAGGTCCCAGATGTTTCCACCTTGATGAAATACACGAGCACGGGTATGTGCAAGCAAGCCTACACATGACCAGTTTCAAACCCACGGTCACAAATTTCACAGCGAAATGTGGCACCTTAATTCCGACACTGTAACCTATATTATTTTACTGTTGAAGACAAGGACAAGTATAATATCTGCTATTTTCTGTAAATGTTAATTAAAATTAGCAGTTATGATTCAGATTGATATCAACCTAGCAATACACGTTGATAAGCATATTATACCACCCAACTCCATGGTTAGTACCATAAAGCTTAAGATAACGTAACAGCATCACTCACTTTTTCCTTCCAGAAACAGATCCAGAAATTCTGAATACGTCCCGTCAAACCGATAGTTCAATTTTAGTCCGTTCAGATGGTTAAAAAATGATACGCTGACATCTTTGGGATTTCGCAGGAGCAAGATTGTTTTTATCTGCTTCTCCACCAGTTTCTCGGGCAGATGACGGAAATGTAGATGTGAGTTTAGAACTCTTGGGGAGGGGAGTTCATCAGGCCGCTCAGACTTGGGGATCTCCAACATGGCGAACTCTTTCGCATTCATGTTGTACTCAGAGTTACCGGTCCTGAGCATAGTGACTATTTCCCACAACCAGTGACTACCTGAAGTGATCGAAATAGACAGCACAGTGTGAGTGAGTGAATTGGGCTTTACACCTTGTTTGAATGGTGATTGCGTTTCGGTCAGCATGATCTACACAGTGCATAGCTCATAAATCAGCTTCACTCCAAATCATGAGTTTATTGTGTTACAGAACAATCTGTTTACTACAGAGTTAAAAAACCCATTCATTCACAGAACAAATTACTCATACATACAGTATATTGTTCAGCATGGGTTCTTACCACATTTGGGATATGTCGCAATCAAGACGTCATCGTCCCTAAGTTCGAATCTCTTAACTTTTCGGAGCGTTTCCATGTCATCCTCAGGGGTTGTAACAATCATCCGAAGAACACTGTCATTTTTGTAGAAGGACCATCCATGACCATTCTCATTCCGGTAGTCCAGAATCTCGGGAGTTCTATAAAGAATCACTGGTAGGGTTTGAATGACAGTTTCGAATCACAGTGTGTGGATACTGCTTGGTGCTACTTATAAACGTGACTATGGTGCCTACAAACCAAGATCAACATTATTTCTAACTTGGGTATGGACTTCGTCGATTCTTGCCCTCGCAAGGGACGTAATAATGTGCATTTAGTTGAGTGATAGTCATATTTGAATAAATGATACCAATACAACAGTAAAAAAGGTTGCTGTTGCGATTTGATGGCATGCGAACCTTGCTCGGTTTCCGCCCATGTTTAAATTTAACAATTACTTCCCTCCGATTAGCAACATACGCACGTACAATCGTGACCAATTCGCCTCATTTAGGAACACGATGCTACAGAAAAAAGCAGTGCACTGACGCAGAATAATGAGGGGAACAAGTACTTACCGCTCACCTTCCATAATGATCAGTACCTGCGATCAACGCTTGTAACTGACTTTCCTCAACACACAACTGTGTCCGCCTACGCTGAAGAAGGAATTGTCCCGACCAATGCTCCAGTTCCAAATAAGCAGCACTGTTTATTCTCGGGGAGCGAGGATGCTTGGTCTAGATCCACAGGAAGATATCTCACAGCTATTATAGTCAACCCAACACGCTCTTATTAAGGCTGTTTATGCAAGTCACGGATCTAGATAAAAGTACGTTATTGAGATAACAAACCAGTACAGTATATTCGCTGTGCCGAGTTGCGTCCCTTGAGCACCCCCAAAACCTACGACACTGAATATGTTTCCTGGCTTTTCTTCGCCATACCAATAGGAGTACGTGGAATGGATGAGTGTTGAATGTAATTAATTTGTCTTTGAACGTATATTTGTTCACCTTTTGTACACCTGTTGTGTAAAACTTAACTTACCCACCCACCGATTGCTTATCAGCTGTTATCCTCCATGTTTGTTCTTGTTTGGTATGTGTCTGCTTTTCAGCTGATTATCATTGTAATTTTGTTGCCCTTGATCTTTGATGCTGGCGAACCTAGTTTAACATTGCATGTGTTTGTGCGAGCGATGATGCATGATGCGCTCACGTGTCTGCAAACACCTGGTAGCGTCATTTTTTTAACGTTTTTTTTGTTTATATACTGAACCGGAAAAGAAACGTCTCCTTTCAAAACCAAATGCAAGATTTTGTTCTTACAAGGTGGTGTTTTTATTATGATGTGCCGTTTTGATAACATGGTTTTCAAAGCAAATAAACAGTAATTACCGATATCAGTGTGTTTTCTGATGAAAAATTATATCAACCAAACGCACCTAATAAGTCAGACGTGGTAAAAGGTTCCGTATGACAATGAAAATGAACGTGCATATCGTGACAAACCTTCCAACGAAAGCGAGTCCCAAACGTGCCTGACAACATTTTGGTCTTGACACAATCGCCATGTCACGACTTACGAGAAATCAGAGGAACCCAGTCTTAGTATGGTAAGGGTCACCACACGCTCCTTTTGGTCGATCCATGATTAGTATGCACGACAACTCATGAATAGGCTAATGGATGCACGACGTCACAGGTCAGAAAGGTGAATGAAATGGTATTTCATCTAATGCGCTCATGCCTTCTTGAATTAAACTCTTCATTAAAGAAAAAAGCAAGAGCCTGGTCGACGACTTCCTTCTAATACAGGAGACTGTGACCTTATTTCAAATAGCGTGCGCTCACCAACATCCCGACCTATTTTCCCCAGGTCTTAATTCCAACGCTGAATGGAAGGTGTGTGTCGAAAGTACATACTACCACAATCGACACTGGTTATGTCGACACGGTTTGAGAGTGGGATTGTACAATCTTAAGAGACGTAGCTCATTCACCCTTTTTTGGAAAGAAAGTAGCTGAATGTATTTTAATACAGAAAATGGTTTTCATGTACAAGTTTGAAAAACATGAGAGTTATGGTAAATTGTCTTTTTGGAAAAGGAAATATATGTTATCACGTAAATTTGATCCGAGCAACGTGTTTAATGTTTAAATGTTCATCCTAAATTTGAAGAGATAAACTTTTTTATCTTGGACATTTTTAACGCCAGAAAAATGTTCGGAGGTAGAGCTTTGTATTGAAAATTGGATACATGGTGTGACTTGAAAGCTCAGAATATCACCGTGTTGACTAAAGGCTGGTGTATACCGTTAGACATGACTTATCACAATTCACAGATATGTTAATATGATCTAGAATCGGATTGTACAGGAACGGGACAAATGCAGCAGTTACACGAATAACAACAAAGGGAAATTTGGTCAGGTTAGGCATGTAACTACTTACCCAGTCTTACTGAAACAATTCGCTAAATACCATAATTGAATACAGCCTGGTTCCCTGGCAACCACTGCCGAATGGCGGCCTTCACTGATCTATTCTAATAACACCAGGGTTATCATGCTCAAAATAATCAATATACAGCAAATGTATACTCTCATACTGGCTTAAAGCCATAAAAACTACAGTTCTCATGACCGGTTTCATTGATACAAATCACCCTTAATTCAACAGTTCACAAATAGTGGAGTGTTCATCTGTCTTGTTTCATGTTGTTTTGTAGAGGCTAAATATCAGAATGACAAACCCTGTCATTAACATCATCCATATGATCTAAACGCTTTACCTTGTAATTTCACAAGGCGATCGAAAAATATATCCGCTAAACCTACCCTGAAACGATGGAAGACACGGGACATAATCGGCGATATTTTCGTCATCAAATTTGCTAAAATAAAGATGCTAACTATATTCAATCAATGTGGTCGTTCAGATCCATTTTTTATGTGTACGATTTCGTGGCAATAGCGAGCTGACACGAAATGTCAAAGCACACGTCGGTGATGAATATAGGGTGTGTGTCATTGTTTACATATCGCCAATGCAACGACCGATTTTCGTGTCTCGAAACTGCTTAAATAACGTGTTCGTACACTGAAAGTAACGATGGGTGTTGTTCTGGTGACGTATACTTTGCCATAGTATCGATGAAAATGCTATGAAAAAATTCTAACCACCCGTTCTCGGATTTTTCTATAGTAAATGTATGGCGCGTCTCCCTGCAGTGGTTGCCTGGGTCAGGGTCGGAGCGTTAGCAGGTGCAACAGACCCAGGGAACCAGGCTGAACTGAATAGTGGTCTCGCTTAGCCGATTCATTCATGTCGTAACATCTAATTTTTAAACTTATCCTATCTCACTACTTGCACCTCTCTCTTGCTTCCACTTTTAGTGGAACGACTGTAAACTTTTTTCCATAGGCCTCCTTGTCCATTCGCCCGTGCACTCCATGCTGCTCTCCCTAATTAGGCGGAAGGGATCGTTGTCGGCATGGGTACTACAGATGTTTACCCCAGGTAAAGTTTCTGTATACAAAATGTACCCTAGCCAAAATCAGAATACAGAAACGTACCCTGGGATGATTCCATTCTGCATTGTGGAGTTTTCTTCATCGGAACGGTCATACTGTTGTATTAGATGCATTTGATATCGTTATATAAGAACATACACAAGTAGCATATAAGTAATCAGTTGTCGGCACTAATAAGAATCTTCATCAAGTGATGACTAACTCAGTCACAGTTTGCAACACTGTCATTCCATTTTCGAAAACCGTAAAAACCTAGGACTTCATCTGGACTCTGATCTCTCTTTGAAAGCTCATATTGACACAGTCTGCAAATCCTGTTACTTCCATTTGCGGAACATTAGCAGCATCCGAAGCTCCCTTACTACAGCGGCAGCTCATGCACTGGTGCGATCTCTGGTTCTCTCAAAGATTGACTACTGTAATAGCATCTTCTATGGACTTTCCGAAAAACTTCTATCAAAACTCCAGAAAGTACAAAACTCTGCAGCTCGACTTGTCAGCAAAGTTCCCTCTAGGATCCACATAACGCCTGTTCTTAAGTCTCTTCACTGGCTACCAATCAGAGCCAGAATTGAATTCAAGGTCCTGAGTCTTGCCTACCAGTGTTACCATCTTACGGCTCCAGAGTACCTTGTTGAGCTAGTCACCAAGCACAATCCTTCCAGAATGTTAAGATCGGCAGATAGACACCTTCTCACTATTACCAGACAGAAACTCCGGGCATTCGGGTTTCGCTCCTTCAGCTATGGTGCTCCACAGTTGTGGAATCAACTCCCGACTGAACTCAAAATGTCTCCCTCCATTGACTCATTTAAAAGTTCCCTGAAAACCCATCTTTTCAGAAAATATTACAATCTATAACTTAACTTTCCAAAAATGTCAGCCTCGTTCTAGCATAACCTTTGCTTTGTAAATATTTGTAAATATGTAGCGCTTTGAGCATGCCTTATGTGTGGAGTTCAGCGTATTATAAATACACATATTATTATTATTATTTAATAGCATTCCTAAGGAGAACAATAGCATTCCTAAGGAGAACAATAACATTCCAGGGGAGAACAATAGCATTTTTCAAGGAGCGCTCCTACATACTCAAGGAGCTTTCAGGAGCACATTCCATAACTTCCAGGAGCTGTCCTTTGAACCCTTAACCCTATTGTATACAATGATAGCCTACACTATGGTTCTATACCAGCCGGTAAAGAGTTAAGTGACGTCTTTAGTTAACATCATGACTCACGGAGATGGGAATGTGTATTGAAATGTTATGAATAGGAACCAAGCAAATTTGATATATTGAAATCATTGCTATTAAATTTGAAATGGGTGGAATGGTGGCCACCTACATCTTTTAAATTCTTGTGTTGTTTGGCATTCCATTTATCGTGTCTTGTTAACCAACCAATCAGACAGCATGTGTACTACTCTACATCCAATCAGACAGCACAAGCACTACACAATCCCATGTTGCACCTTCCACTATGAGACATTTCAAATCAGTTATCATTGCTATCATAAACCAGAAGAGTTTTGGAAAAGCATTTCTGCTCGCAATCAATATGGCGCAGAAGGTGTTGGACATGAGATGTATAGGCTTCTCAACAGACCAGTTACTTACTAGTGTGTTTCAAGAAGTGAAGGATATTGTGAATACTCAGGTACATTTGCATGAAACTATGATGCGAACAAGTGAGTTGTACAAAACCACGTACACCGAGATGGCAGAGCGAATGAAGACCTTAGAAGAGAAACTGCCATCAGTATCGCCCGCTCTCTTGAGTTTGCTGTTGGATTACATGAAATTTGCTGCCACATCTGCCAACGAGAATTCAGAGAACAGAAAGCAAAAATCTCCCATCGCATCTCTTCTAAGGCTAAGAAAACTAGAAAAGTGAAGGAGAACGAGAGACAACCAGTTGCAAAGAAGAGCAAAAGAACACAAAAGCAGAAGACCAAAAAGGAGGTAGCCAGTCCAGCAATCAAACCAAGGTAAGTGTAATCATTATGATAATTAATTATATTTGTTCTACCTAATTGTTTACAATGAAATAATTTTGTTCCAAGTTTATATCTTGTATTTGTTTTCTTTATTGATAGGAGCGATGTCAGCGCTTTTTCACCTACTGCACCGCAGCCATCTCCATCACTCCTGATAGAACCTATAACACCTCCTACAGAACCTAACTTCAAAGACTGGCTTCCAACAGAGTCCACCTTAAATGACTTCTGGTTGGATTACACTCGCATGTGATTTAACAGCGGAAGATCGATATGAAGAAGAGAAACTTACTCCTCTTCAACGAAATTGTAGCATTTGTCGTCACAATAATATGCTGCGTCACGTGAGTTGCAATAGTGGACAAGTCCAGTGTCACGTGTGTTGTAATGAACTTTTTGACTGTTTGTGTTACTATGATCCAGAGGGGATGATGGAAGACATGTTATCTCAAGATTTTGAAGGACATATCCTATCCGTGTAAATTCAGAGGTGTTTTAATCATGCTCTGTAACATGGTGATGATCATTATGTACTGTAACACACTTTTGTGAATTGTAATAGGGGAAAGTAGTGGAATGAATAAATAATCAAACCATATGTGTTTTATGTTATATATATTGTTTAGTAAGTCACATTCTCCTCAGTACAACATGAGTTCCCAAAAGACAAGCAGTGAGTTGAAACAGCAAAAAGCATTAGAAAAGTATCATTATGACCCTCACATTCCGGGCACTTATTATGGACCCTCCAAACTGCGTGATGAATTGAAGAAAAAGAGTCACCATAGTATCAAGCTGAGGAAGGTGAAACGATTTGTGAACAACCAATTGCAAGATGCTTATAGTTTACACAAACCAGTCAAACATAGATTTAAAAGAATGAAAGTAAGAGTGAATTCCATGAATGAAATGTTTGATGTGGATATAGCTGATCTTTCACGTTACAGCAAAGAAAATCAGGGTATACGCTACTTGCTTGTAGCTATTGATATCTTGAGTAGGTTTGCCTTTGCCTTTCCTTTACAAAATAAGAAACCAGAGACAGTGCTGAAAGCCTTCAAAAAAATACTGTTGAAACGAAAACCAAGGAAAGTTCGTGTAGATGCTGGAAGTGAGTTTAAGGGTGCATTCAAATCCTATTTAGAACAAGAAAATATTACTCTCACCATTGCACTGAATGAAATCATCAAAAGCAATTATGTGGAACGTTTCAATAGAACACTAAAATCGTTGGTCACCCGTTACATGACACACAACAATACCAAACATTACCTTGATGTTTTACCTGAACTGCTACACAACTATAATTATACTTTGCATTCCTCCTTACCCAATATCATTTGCAAAAATGTCATGCATAGTAAGAAAGCAGAATAATACTAAACTGAAGTATCTAATGACTGGCATTTTCACTCTTGCCTGCTGACGGATAAGACGTCCTTTTTCAACATGAGGAGAGCTTCTGAGGATATATTTGGCCCTACACCCATGTTCACAAAGTTTGGCAAGAGCAAGTCAACAAAAACACGTCAGAGAGAAACAATGGGATCGCTGAATAGACAGGTTACATCTAACAAGGAAAAAGAGGGACAACTGTGAAGGGCAAAAGAAGACTGCACTGAAAATACAACCTGTGTCGAATATCATTATGAAACGGACTAAAGCTACCTTGAAACGTAACATGGCTCAAATGTATAAAAGAATGCTTCAGACCCTCTAATCACACACTTGTGTTACATCACTATGGAGCTTACTACCACCTGTCCAGACTGTGACAAGAGATTTACGCGAAAGATAATTTACAAAGACATCAGAAGCAGATGCATATGCATGGGTCAATGCAAGAGTTAAATCCCCCTCTTTCTCAGGATAAACAACTTCCTTCTCCTCCTCCTCAGGATAAACATCTTTCTCTGCCTCAGGATAAACAACTTCCTCCTCCTCCTCCTCTTCAGGAGGAGCACAAGCAGCACGAACGATTCAAATTTCTCATTCCCTCCAATGGCTTCATCGTCTGACCCAGTGGATGTGGAAAGTCGGTGTTTGTCTTCAACCTATTAAGACGTGGATTCATTCAACCTCTACCTGACTGTATAGTCTGGTGTTATACCGTGTGGCAACCTCTTTACGATAGCATTCTTCAAACTTTATCTCAAGTACGTTTTGTGAAAGGAATACCTTAAATATCGAAGATGAAAACCACTTTGATGCCCACAACCAGAACATGATGGTGTTGGATGATTTTCTGTCTGAAGCAAAGAACGATAAGCGAATTTCCCGTCTGTTTACTCAAACCTCCCACCACAAAAATGTTATTATTTTTTACTATTGCAAAACCTCTTCCCAAGAGGTAAGGAATCTCGTGACATTGCTCTAAATTCACATTATGTAACACTTTTCAATTCACCAGTGGACAGACAGCAGGTGAAGTTATTTGCCAGAAGGATATTTCCTGACGACATTAGTAGATTTATGACTCTTTATGAAAAGGCTGTTGATACACCTTATGGACACCTCACAGTGGATCTCAAACCTAGTAAAAGTGAAAAGAATAGACTCCATGTCAATCTCTTGAAAACCAACCTCAATACATCTGATCAACAGAGTGGTTTGCAACAAGAACAGGTAAAAGAGGTCTCTCCAGTATTAGACGTTCAGACAGCTTCCGACATTTGTGCTGATCACACATCCAAAGTAAGATCACTTAACTTTGACAACGACCTTGAAAAAGCATCCATCTCGAGTGACGACACACAGGACCTTTCACCATGGCCACTGCGTGTACCGACTGCGGCGTATTGATAGACAGTATGCATAATCTACAGCGACATATCAAAACATGGTGTCCAGTAAACACCAGTTTGAAATCCAAGAGGAAACGTCTCAGATATCATAGTGACGACAACAGTGAAGGCGAGGAACAAGTTCCTGTACAGAAAGGAGGAGGTTCTGCTGGAAAACAATGTCGTGGGAAGCCTTCAAACATTGACATGGAGGAGTGGCAAAATGTGGGTTTACAACGCATCTGGAATCGTGTGTACAACATCAACCATGACGTGATGAAACTCAAAAGGAAAAAGTACAGACAACAGGGTCGAACAGAAGATTGGATTGACAGAAAAATGAAACAGATATGGGGAAATGAATTGGCAAATAGCCTTAACAATGTCATAGAGTTCAGTCAATACTTTAAACAGGCACCTCTGTTTCAACCCAACCTAGACAGCCTGAGTAATGTGGACCCTGGCACTGATCAATCTATCATCAAAAACAAGATAACCCGTTTCATGAAAACGATCATGAAAGACATTCTGACTCGTATAGATATGCCCGAAGTAGAAAGTGACAGTGAATCTGTCATGGCTGCCGATGACGATAATGATGATGATGATGAGGGTCAGCAAGAATAAAATCCTTGTCTTTTGTTACAACCCTTCAGTCGAGATTTTATCATCCCATAATAATGACACAGAAGAATCAGTCACCAAGCTGACATAAAGGAAGGAAGAGATGTGGACTTATCCACATATTAAAAACACAACCTGCCAAGAAGACAAAACAGTTCTCGAAATGACACCAACAGCTCCCTATCAAAGAAACACTTGGTCCTATACATCAGGAGAGCAGCCAAGTTGGGACCCCCAGGACACAAACATCTTTCTGTGGCATAAATGCCGCTAAACGATAGTCTTCTCTGTTTTATACCTGATGTATCTGAGTTGTTTCATGTTTCATGTTAAGACTAAAACGCAATACAAGCTTTAAAATCATTGAACCATCAAGATTGCTTTTTATTCTTGTGAAAAATCCTTTGAACCCTACACTTGTGAAGACTGACACCTTATGTGGTTAAAAAAACGTCCGTTACAATTTTTGTTTCGTTGTTTTTAATTCATGTTTCTATGGTGTCATACACATTGTAAATATGTTTCAGCAATCCTATTGTTCAAAACAATATGATCTTGAACAGGCTTTTACTGACTGACTGGTTTTACGCCGCTTTTAGCAATATTCCAGCAACATCACGGGGGGGACACCAGAAATGGGCTTCATACATTGTACCCATGTGGGGATTCGAACCCGGGTCTTCGGCGTGACGAGCCAACGCTTTAACCACTAGGCAACCCCACCGCCCTCGAACCCCCCGAATATATATATATATATATATATATATATATATATATATATATATATATATATATATATATATATATATATATATTTGCTGACACTAGTGTATTTGCCTTTTTACAAGACCGCCCCCGCTCTGGATCGGGTGATCAAGTAGTAGCATAACCTTATATGGAAAGGTCTGCTACGCCATGTTTTGGCTGAATGAAGAGTCGAGGTTAATATAGCCTTAGTGTATTCGCATCTGTCATCACGTCTAACCTTGATGTCATGCATACATTGCGTGTTTATGAGTGTTCATGCACTTTACATAACTACCTAGAGGTAACAACAAAGCAAGTTAAAGAAGCTTTGACCAAATAAACAGAAAAACCTAAAGTATTTACCAATGAAACTACTCCTACAATACATCCAGGTGGAGTTGTTGAACTCGAATTTTTCGTGTGAAGAAAACACAAAACGATTACAGCTTAGATAATTTCATATTTTTGCAAAATCCTGTTCTTCGAATTCTACTATCTATCTAAAAAGCTCGCAAACAGGTTGTTGACACACGGCATCTCTTTTCAATAGTGTCAAGTCGCAGCCCCCACACTAGTCATGATCTATAATAACATCTCAACAATGCCCACACAGTGAGCTTGTCACGTGAATACACATTCCTTTCTGTGTCAGCACTTCCCTATTTGGAAATGGCGACTACGTTTTTGTACTTTCCATTGTTTTGCTTTAATGAAGGCTGAGATGACTGAATGTATCAGTGCATGAGAACAATACACCCAACCATGACTTGGCTGACTTGTTACGTCATGCATATATTTGGCTATTAATGAGTTACATACATACTAAATAACCTTCCACAGAAATCACATGAAACTAAATCTGACCTCAGTTTAATATAAAGGTTGTAGTTGATGAAGTATCAATAAAATATTTTGTGGCACAACTATTGGAATACAATGCAATAATCAGATAATAGTGTAAAGAGGTCATATGCTATACTTTCTTATTTGTCTGCAAACAAAAAAAGTTTGCAAATCTTGATCGTGACATTTTTAATAGAATATGTGTACTGAAAATTCAAAGGAATTGTAAGTCATGATATAGTGTAATATAAATCGTGACATTTTCTAAATAGCGTCTACCATTAAACATTCAAAATAAAGTGGTAAGACATTGAAGATATACGTGATTTAATTTTATGTTGGTAAAAAATATCACAGGTACAGGTGAACGCACACATCTTTGTCTGGCGTGTGATTCAGCTGAATGATAAGCAGTTGTGTGAAACTATACCTATCCTTAAAAGCAAAGTGAAAAATTTAGTGTTATCAATTCAAGACCAGGAACGGTGTTTCTGCAAACCCTATGTTGTTCAGTTGAAGGTATGTAATTGAAACTTTGTACAAATTGTTAGAATTGATTGACTTAGAAGTAATATTTCTCATCCATTGAGCATTTGATATTTCATTTCTTGCAGAGAATAGTCTTTATTTTGACCTGCTTGTATACTGCAGAATTATATTCATATGCAGACATGTACAATGAGCTAGAAAAGGTGAGCTGTATTTCATACATTCTGTTAACCCTTTACCTGCTGGAGTAGAGAAATACTCAGTTGAAATTCATTACACATTCCCATATCGAATTCATGTAAGTTGGCTGTGTAATGATATCTTGCAGGGTTTTGTAAATAATTAATCTCTGCCGCAGGTACCATTAACCTTTATTTTTACTTAATTTTCGCTAGTGAGTTTAAACTTAGATTGAAAAAATTGCGATTCGCTGGAGTGTAGCGCCAAAACACAACTTTGAGGCGAGATGCGTTAGTTCCGTCCCACTTTAACGTGGACGGTTGCGTTTGGGTGAATATTTTCAGTTTCAGTAACTGACTTTCCAATCTGCGTGACTCACCAGGCTAAACCTTCCATTCATATTTACATATGTTTGTACTTCTTTTCAAACCATTTGATTTAAACAATATGTTATTTCCAAAGAAGCTATATGTACAAGGTTTGAGCATTGATATTACATATAAAAGGAAATAGACTGCTGCATTTCTAGGTTGGAATTCTGATGGAATATAACGTAAGAAGTGATGTGTGCTTACAAGTTACACTAACAACTAGTCCCTGAAATGAACATATTTTACTGAAAAAAGTTCATTGTAAAAAAAAAATATAATATAATGAAAAGGAGCCCTGAGACTCTTCATTTTCAGAAGCTGAGGAAATCTAGACTTGCCACATTTTCTAGACTTGCGTGGGCTTTCTTGGATATATTTGCTTCAGGGTCTGTACGTCAGACTAGCTTACAAATGTTAACAAATAAGATGTACTACTTAAAACATATTATTTATGGTACCAAGCACTTATTGAAAGCGGTTAAAATCAGCTATGAATTTATAGACATGAGCAACATTCCACCCATTTCAAATTTAATAGCAATGATTTCAATATATCAAATTTGCTTGGTTCCTATTCATAACATTTCAATACACATTCCAATCAGCATGAGTAATCTCATTATATAAAGATGTCATGGAATAGGTTCAAAGGACAGCTCCTGGAATTTATGGAATGAGCTCCTGAAAGCTCCTTTAGTATGTAGGAGCGCTCCTTGAAAAATGCTATTGTTCTCGCCTGGAATGCTATTGTTCTCCTTAGGAACGTTTTTGTCTCCTTAGGAATGCTATTGTCTGTCCGGAACTGATTACTTATATGCTACTTACACAGTAATGAATATGTCACGGTGCACAACGTACACCACTTGCAATCAGCTGAACGGGAACAACTACATATACGGTTCGGTTTTGGGTTGCGGAATATGGACTCGTCCGTCGTTTAGGGTACCGGGTACGTTTCTGTAGTTTGTCTTTGTTTAGGGTACATGTCTGTATACAGAAACGTACCTGGGGTACATATCTGTAGTACCTGTGCTCGACAACGACCCCTTCAGCCTTAATTAGCTTCCTAGTTCCTAATGAAGCTTGCAGCATGCTCCACTAATTGCCCACGTGACTACCTTGAATGATCATTCTCTTTCTTGTCGCACGACTGTGTGGACGTGCTGTATATTAGGGACATTATTTCACCCTAACATCATGGGGAAAACTGATAATCAGTCAAGGAAAAGGAAAGTTCGTGCTCAATGCAAGACGAATTATTCGTCCCTCGACCCTCACTCGTCTTGCAGTGACTGTATTGGACAATGTAACTGGAACAAACGATGTGGCAAGTGTAATTCACTAAACTATGAGGATTTTAAGGCCTACCTTCGTGTTTGCTCCCGGAGAATCGCAGATAGGGACAGGAAATCAACAGAATCTGATCCCACTCCAGCCAAGCGTATCAAGTTACAGCGACAGAAAATCGCACCTTCACGCAAGAGAGTGCGACGTCTGTGGTTCAAGAGGATTTTATGGACGTATCATCAGATTCTTCCTTATATGAGGACGGTCGGCACCTATTACGTACGCATCAATCTTCCTCCTTCCATTCTTCGTTGCCTGTCCCATCTACACTACCAGGGGACCTTAGATCGACACTATCACCATCCAGATCATCGGTACATATCTCAGTTTGTTTAGAGCCTGGCCAACCGCGTTCAACCAGCCAACTGTCTCCCCACAGTTCACTGAACCGGACGGAGCTTGCTACAACAGCGTCGCCGGGGGATGACAGCATGAATCAACAATACAGGTTTCGTCACCTAATCGCCGATCCAGATCGCCACATCATTCTAGATCACCTCAACGATCTAGGTCACCTTCAAGATCCAGATCACCATCACAAGCCTGATCTAGATCACCTCAACGATCAAAATCACCGGATCGATCCAGATCACAGTCACGATCCAGAGCACAACTACGATCCACATCACCTGATCAATCCAGATCACCTATTCGATCCAGATCACCGAATGGATCCAGATCACAACTTCGAATCAGATCACCGGACCGATCCAGATCACCAAATGGATCCAGATCACAACTTCGAATCAGATCACCCGGACCGATCTAGGTCACCTAACCAATCCAGATCACAACATCGAAGTAGATCACCAGACCGATCCAAATCACCGAACCGATCCAGATCACAACATCAACGTAGATCACCTAACCAATACAGATCACCAAATCAAGCCAGATCGCAACTGCAAACCAGATCACCTGTTCGATCCAGATCACCTTATAGATCCAGATCACGATCACAGTTTCCAGTTAGTGCATCGAATCGATCCAAATCACTTTACAAATCCAGATCATCTTACCAACCCAGGTCACCTATACGATCCCATTGACCAATTGGGATCACAGTACAGATCCACATTTCATGGCCGATCCTATTCAGATGGTCGAACCAGAGCTCCAGTCAGAACCAGATCACCAACTAGAACTACAGCGACCCTGACTAGTTCTTCATGTCATACCGGATCACCTAGCCATACTAGGGAATCCAGATCACCGGCTTACCAACCTACTTCGGTACTTACCACGTTGAGATCTCGATACAGTTCCTCTGACCCACGTTCGAGTGATGATTGCTCTGATACCACTAATAGGCCTACAGTCTCTTACGATGTTCCGTCTACACGCTCTGAGAATCCTTCTACTCACTCTATGATCATCGCTGAGTCCTACAGCGACTCCGGATCTAAATATGATGATAAGGGCCATAACCTCAGCCTGGAACCAAATACAGCCGTCTACTCCTGCCCATCCGGCTTCGGTAGCTCCGGGCTCTTCATCTGGTTCACCTCCTGAGATTGATCCAGTCCAAATAGCCATGCCTGCATCTCCGCTCACTCTGAGTTATCTACCCCTGGGGGTAGCTTTGCAGCAGTTGAGACACCTCAGGTACTCCTTTGGATTGTTGAGAAGCTCCAACTTCCCTTGAGTACCCCAGCACACGACCTGGATCACTCTTATACTCTTAGGAACCAGGATTGGTCTACCATCACCCTACCACCTCGACCTTGTATTCTGAAAGTACCCAGTACCCTAAATGATGGTTTCAAGAGCCTGAAACGAATTAAGGACGGATTCTCTGCTCACAGATATAATCCTTCTACCTCTCATGTCCACGGCCTAACAAAAATCTCTACGGCTTCAACATTTGATGGGGCGGTGGGGTAGCCTAATGGTTAAAGCGTTGGCTCGTCACACCGAAGACCCGGGTTCGAATCCCCACATGGGCACAATGTATGAAGCCCATTTCTGGTGTCCCCCGCCGTGATGTTGCTGGAATATTGCTAAAAGCGGCGTAAAACCAAACTCAGTCAGTCAGTCAGTCAACATTTGATGAGGATATTGGAACCCTGGGTGGCAAACGAGCTGCTTCGCCCTACCTTATTGAGGACCGAGAGTTTGCTCACATGGATTCAACCATGAGAAAGACGTTGCCATCTATTAGTTGCGTGATTGCAGCAGTCGACGCTGTTAACACTGCTCTGGAGCATACTTACTCTGATCAAGACGCTTACATCCGAGGATGCATGACTTTAGCTCTGGGCCAGTTCCAAATTATCCTGGATCACTTGTCTCATTTTTTGGGCTACACTCTTGCTGTTCGCCGACGTGGACCCCTTAACATCTCTTCATGGGAGGAGGGATTTAAAACAGAACTGTTTCGCCAGCCTTGGTTTACTGACTCCCTCTTCAATGGTAGCATCCAAGAAGTATCTAATAAAGTTGATAAAGAAACCCACTTTCAAGTCTCGATTGAACTGTTAAAGATACAGAAGTCACAGCTCCAGGACTCGTTTAAACAGCGTCGATCTGGCCCCGGTGGTTCCTCCCGTCGCCCCCATTTTACGCACCATCCTAAAGAAGGTAGACTTTCTCATCAGCCTAGATCTTCAAGATGCTTATCTTCACGTTCCGATACATCCAGAACACCAGGAGTACATTCGCTTCGTGTTCAACGGGAATCACTACCAATGGAAAGTCCTACCATTTGGATAAAGATTCAGCAATGCATTCCTCCAGGACTGTCTCAGGCAAGAACCTTACGACAGTGGCAGGAGCTACTGGGCCTTCTGACTTCAGCTCAAGCCTTAACGTACAGAGGCCAGCTCCAACTTCGTCCGATACAGCGATTTCTACGCCCGTACCTTCAGGCCGACAAACCCCAAGGAACTAATTTGCCTTCCAGATCCGCTTCGTCCAGTCCTTCAATGGTGGCTCGATGAACGGAATGTTTGCACCGGAGTCTCTATGATGCCCTTTGCACTGACTCATCACCTATTCGTCGATGCATCCCTCATGGGTTGGGGAGCTAACTTCCTCGACCACCAAGTGGCCGGGCTGTGGTCATGCGACGAACGGGTACTTCATATGAACGAGGTGGAATTCAAGGCGGTAATTCAAGCCATCTCACATTGGGCAACAGAGCTTCAATCAACCAGTCTGTTGATCCAATCAGACAATTCGACAGTGGTTTGGTATATAAATCATCTAGGGTCGAGAGGATCGGCGAATCTGCTACAATTGGCGATCAGAATCTTCCATCTCATCGACTCACTCAACATCGTAGCCAGAGCCAGAGACATTCCCGTGGTAAAAAATGTGATCCCCCATGCCTTGTCCAGATCCAACCGACCGTCCCCGACAGAGTGGAAGTTACTGCCCCAGATCTTTCAGTCGATGATCTACCCGTTATCACGTCCTCAAATAGATCTGTTCGCCACAAGGTTCAACAACCAACTTCCAAAGTTCATATCACAAATCCCAGACTCCTTGGCGTGGGACCTCGCCGCGTTGGCAATATCATGGGAGGGTCTCAATGCCTACGCGTTCCCCCCTCCAGCTCTGCTACCAAAAGTAATACAGAAACTATTGGCCATCAGCAACATACTACTGCTTTTGGTCGCATCCTTCTGGCCAGCAAGAAGATGGTTCGTCAACCTAAGAAGCCTGGCTGAGCTTCCCAACCGGGACAACCTACTTCTTCATCCTCACTCGGACTGCGCCATGGGTCACCTCAGACCCTCAATCTACACGTATGGCGCATCTTCAGAGGTCTCTCATAGCTAAGGGCTACTCTCGGTGAGTAGCCACAGCTTTCACTTCAGCGCATCGTACTTCGACCCGTTCCTTGTACAACAACAAGTGGAAGAAGTTTGAAGACTATTGCAAGCTTAGAGGAATTGCATCTTCCACTTCCACCTCGGCTCAGGTCATTGCAGATTTTCTCCAGCATCTCCGCACTACTAAGAAACTCAAGGGTACTACGTTAGCTACCTACTTAGCCGCCATCAACTCGGTTTTGGCTACCACCACAGGCATGAAGATTTCCACTGTTCCCGAGTTGTAGAGTCTACTACGCTTCTATAGACTCTCTGGCCAGTCCAGAAAGTTGAGACCTCCGGCCTGGGATCTGTCCGTCATCCTTCGGCATATAATTTCTTCAGATTATGAAGACAAGGACTTCGAACAAGTGACATCCAAGACATTCTGCCTGGTAGCTTTGGCTACCACTGCTCACATTGGCCTTCTGGATGCGTGCCACGATCCTGCGAGCCTACACCTTTACACGGTTGCCTCCTCCAGCCGCTTCCAATCCTCATGAGACTCGTGCACTAGCCTCGACGATGGCCCTCCATAGCAACTGCTCCTTGACCGCTATCATGGAAGGTTGCTTCTGGCGTTTTGATTCAGTCTTCTCTTCACATTACCTGGGAGACCTGTCTTTCACGGATGCCTAGGTGCTACACCAGTTCGGACCTCTTGTACTAGCTCAGCAGCTTACATGGGACCAACAACGCAGATGAGGGACGGTTCCGCATTCGCGTTACTACTTCCTTGTATATACTGAATAAAAGTTGAACTGGATCTCAACCTTTTGTACTCATTATATGGGTTTAAGAACTACTTCACTTGGCCTCCATACCAAGGCATCGAATACGGCCACCTAGCGTGGCCCTACGGACCTGAGACACAATCAGTATGACGAAAGCAGAGGTGTTCGACATTCACGCTTACTGACCTCTACTCCACGGAGCAGTTACGTCAGTGAAGTGTGACACTCCCGAATTCCAGTGGATTTCGTTGCGTTCTGCCTCCAAATTTGCCGGGCACATCCTTTGACTAAGCTTAGGCAAAGGAGTGAGGGTCATTTGATGCTGCCCAGAACTGAACGTTAAACCTTGGAGATGCCGAGTTGTGTTTCTCTTTCACCCGCCTCGGTCGGTGTCGGGGGGGTTCTTGAAGCAGGGGCTGTCCCTATTCTAGTCGCAAAACTTTAATTACGGGGGTATCTTGTGGCGAGGCGAGGCGAAGCGAACTTGCCGAGTTGCATCCCTTGTCTTGTACAAGGTTGCGGCCGAACACCGGC